CCTCGGGAAGGAAAAATGATTAGCTAATAAATTGGTCGATCTATATATACATTCAAATAAGCGAGGAAAAAAAAGTCTTATAATGTGGAGAGAGAAATGTAATACATCTTCTTTGCGAACTGAAACATGAGCAAAAACAAGCAAAGGATGAAAAAAAAAATTGTAAAATAAAATTATAGTAATTAGAAAAATACAATAAATATGAGAATACATTTTTAAAATTTTATTTTTAATTCAAGAACATACTAAATAAATTTTAGGACAAATCAAAATGTCTTTTAATAAGGACTGAATGGAGTAATTAATAGGCAACTAACAATACCATCAAAACTTTAAAAATAATGTAAAATCAATGCAGATAATTTCAAAAACAAAAATAAAACTGTTTTCTAATTTAAGGACCAAAAAAAGAAAAGCAATACTTTATAAAGATCATAAAATTTTCAAAATAATTTAAAATAATGATTTTAGCATTTTTGAGTTTCTCGTAAGTTTTGCTAAGAGGACAAAAAAATCGATCCGAAACAATTTCAGCAAAAAGTAAATCGCATTGTGACTTTAAAATTGATAAAAATGTAAAAAAAAAATTATAACGAAACAATATTGCCACAAACTATATAGCCTGCTGGAGGAGTTGGTCGAGTAAAAAAAAAAAGTTATTCATGCATTGAAAGGTGATTTGATCAAATTTCGTCGTCTATTAGAGAGTTTGATTTGAAACTTCAACCACATTGTTAGCCAAGATATCCCCGTCGACATTGGAAGTATATTTTATAAGGTTTGACTTCACCATATATGTACCACAACAATGCATGGTGTCATTAAAAAAAAAATCTATAAAATCAAGGAGTGATGATTATGTGGTAGGGAAGTGGTCTAACTTGGCCGCATGTCTGGCTTGATGTTAGGAGAAGGAGAGAGTAGTTAAAAGAGGCATTGATCATGGTAACATTTAAAGATTTGTCGGTCGGCCTAAGGGTTGTTGGAATGGTAGTGTCTATACCTTTAACGACAATATCTCCAACATGAGCCTCAGTTTGCTGCCACCGAGTCCAATTGCCTACCAAACTCCGAGTTGTACATGAGTCTTCTTATGTCGTCGATCGACTCAAGTTGATCATGTCTTTTGAAGCCTTAAATTGCGTTAACATGAGATTGTCTAGCTGCTGCTGGACCTTAATTCACTGAATTGGTTTTGATTTTGTGATGGGACTGAATATGTTTTACAGGACATGAGTTCCAGATAAGTGCTGACTTGAATTAAACTATCTTTTGACCAGGTAGTGTGAAACAGTGAAACTGTGGGTCAAGTGGATGATCCCACTGTATTATCACGTTGGCGCGAATCCATGGGTCAATCTTTATCAATGGGGAAAAGTTAAGTTGGGTAAATTTCCCCGTGTTTCTAATTGAGATGCATGGAATCTAGGAGGAGAAACACATTGTCATCGATTTGTAAGCGTTTTGCTGCATATCCATGGGTAGATTGGATTGAGCTTTTTCAGAGTCTTCGTTAACTCGAAAAATTGTTTTTGTCTGGTAGACGAGAATTTCCATACACATAACGTGATAATTTTTCTTTTTTTTGGTATATTATGCATTTGATGTCCGAAGTAATTGCTCCGACTAATTTGAATTCGAGCCAGGTAGGTTTCTTTCAGGAAACAAAGTTCACTCAACAAGTATTTTAATCATTGCTGCATGCCTATGCCAAACTTAGAAAGAAAAAATAAAATTAATATCTTATACTCTCTCCATCTTAAAAAGAAAACCGTATATTTGTTACACTTCCTTTTCTCTCTGGAAAAAAAATTTAATGAAACTGATTATCATTGGAATTCTAATCTCGTGATAACAATCATTTTTAATTGACTGTGGTGAACGTGAAGGGAAATTGAGAGATAGCTTGAAATGTGTAAATAGGCGGCAAAATTGTAGTTTACATTTGTAACTATGATGTGTCAGTCGAACAACATCAACCAAAGAAACAACAACATGCACAGTTTTACATTTTGGATTGACGAAAATCAAATGAAGGACATCTGGCACCCAAATCGTATGAAACAAATCGCACTACTTACATAAGATAGTCCCAGTTACAGATCACAAGACAGACTACAAGTCTCTGGTGTGATCTACAAAGGTAAAATTGAAATTTTTCACAGGTCATTTCTACAGAAACTACAAACCTCTGGAACAAGGCAGACACTATACGATCGCACATATACACTTCATTACTCAAGTCGCCATTAACGATCTCATATACTACAACAATCTAATAAGTTTTACTCCCTCCGTCCCATAATTATTGTCCAGTTTAAATTTTCATTTCTAGTTTAAATTGTACTAAAAATGAAATCTCAAACTGTACAATATTTTTGGGACAGAGAGAGTATATATTTTGTAATAAAAGAAACACACTGTACACTTCAATATTACTTGTCCGTCACTGCGGATGTGTAAAATCTATAATAACCAACTCAGCCAGACCAGGATTTATTGGCAATTTGGCACCACAAGAAACAATATTTATTTTCTTTTTTGTCTTTTTATAAATTCAACCAAGAAATTGATCGCCAAGGGAAAAAAGAACTGCAGTGTAGCCCATACTTCGTCACTTTTTTTTTTCTTTTTTTTTTTTTTGTCCCCGAGAACTTTTTAATGGAAATAGAGATGTGGGGAAGTGGATTATTATCACCGCAGCGACCGCATCACGCCACGCCCTTATCCTAAACTCTTACCTAAATTTCTGGCTCTCCCAATTTCAGTATCTTCAGAAAACTCCCCAAAGCCAAGTGTGTGGTTGGCTTATTATAACCCTCAGTGTGTGACTGCGTGTTTTCACAATTGGGGAACCTTTTTTAATAGAACGTGTTAGGGGTGTGTCCTAATCTTCATAAAGAGAAGATACCATTCCTCCTAAGTGGATATCTTTTAAGGATATACATTATCTATTATTTTAATTATTTGCAACCATCCATATTCCTCAACTCAAATAATCCCTCTCCATCTAACTATCCTTGTCAATCAAATTATAACTTCTATCCACTCATTGTTATTAATTGAGGGTTATTGGTTTAGTTTGTGTGAAATGTATGTTCACTTACAACCCCTCTCATCATAGTTCCAGTATTAAAACAAAACTTTAAATTTTGTTTAATTGAGAAACAAATTGTATCTGAGATGAATGAATGACAGAATTTTCTTTTAGCACTGATGACTAAACTGCTCAATCAAGAGGCCACCGTCTTTTTTCGCAAAATTTCGATAGCTATAGTAAAATACACAATAGTATTTTGTATGTTTGATTTTTTATTTATTTATTATTATTATTATTTTTTTTTGGGGGCGAAGTAGTTCCAGTGGTGGCTGGGTACGCACGTCTACGCTCAAATATTATTCTTGGAATTGCGACATCCATTTTGGCCAATTTGGCATCTCTTTCCCTTCATCATCAGCAACCCTTTTTAGCTAGTTTTTGCCGTCTCTCTGTTGGTTTGAAACGTGAACCTACAATTTTGCGCCACGTGAGCATAATGTGGGGCAATCTAACCAAGTTACAAACTCCAAACCCAAACCCGAAACAGATTTCATCACATAAAAACTTACGAACCTCAGAACACACAACACAAATTGACAAATTGACATGCATCCATCGTTGTCCTCTGGCTTTCTGACCCTTTTCCCATGTGGTTGAGTCGTGCTTTTCGGGTCGCCGTCGGATCCTATAAAAAAAAAAAAAAGTGTTTTTAATGTTAGTACGTAGTTAATAAGTTTAGTTCCATATATATGAGATATGAATATTATGATCCATTTCCACAGTGCTTTGGATCCATGCGTATTTTTCATGCACGTCTTTCCCCGTCAATTAACCAATTTGACAACATACTTGTGGCACTAGGTTAAGGAAATTGACTCCCAATTGGTCCCACTCCACTTTTCTCTTTTGAGAGAAGGGTTCATTACAAAAGTATCAAAAGTTTTTGCTAAGGGGATTGGGTTGAACTTGATCCACGCTCTTGTAGATATATAAATATCTTTTCTTTTCTTTTTTTTTTTGGCGATTGTGTTAACAATGATTACATATTTCAAATCCCTCACGCCAAGAACACGGTAGAAAACGCATTTTAGTTTCATCTAAAAGGGATTATTGTCTTTATTGATTGATGTAATAAATCATTTTTTTTTTGTTTCATTTGCATCATCGCGCGTAAGTGATACAGATAATTTTGTGTTTTAATTACGTATTTTCTTTCACAGTTTTACTTCAAAAAGTAAACAAGAAAAAAAGTTAGATACAAAAGTTGAAAAAACAAAAGAGCGTGCTCAAGTTAACAAAGCATGCACATGGGGGGATTCGGTAAGAAATGCGAATATGTGCAAAAATTAGTGCTAAATTTTGAACTTTTAAGTTTTTTTTTTTCTTTTTTTTTGAGAAAAGAACTGTGTGTGTACATACTACATAGGAAAGGATATTCTTGGGCACATTATGGAACGTGACCTAAAAGCAGCTAGAAACACTGAGATTAGGATTAAATTTTATTTTTATTTTTTTTAAAAAAAACACACACACACACACACAAAAGTGACACCTCATCACTCTGAATTTGCCGTAATTGCTACATAATTCCAGGTCATGACATCAGTAGTAACCTTCCAGCCAACTACAACCGATACAGTTATGGCCCTTTTGAGTTTTGAAGAACAAAGGCCACATGTCAGAATTTTAAATACGACTCCTCCTGCCTTCCTTCTTATTCCTATTTACCAAACTGACCGAACACTTCACGCAAAGATTCCAGCAAACCAAAGAACTAGTATTTTCCTACAACCTCCAAACTCCTCCCTAATCACTCACTCTAATGATAGATAACAAATCACGTGTTTTGAGTTTATCACAAACACAAAATTAACCGTTTCACCTTGCGCCTAATAGTTTGGTAATAGCTTCTAATTACCGTCTCGAACTTGAGCATTACCAACGGAATATGCTAAGAGATGTCTTTGTCAATATGATATGATTTGAATTATTTTTTCGCATAACGCTACTTATTATAGCATTATAATTGAAACACCCTGGTTTAAAAAATACAGATAAATGTATGCCAATTGTGGATAGTTAAATTGTTTTGAACTGAGTAAAGTAAAAAGTATGATAATTGTGATGAAATAGGTCCGAAAATTACTCAATTTTCAATAACCGCTATATCCCTCACACCACCACCCCTATTGTATTTAAAACATGGTGAAAAAATAATGATCTGGTTTAAAGGGATAAGGATAAAACTCAGTATCATATGCTCATTCACGTCAATTAGCGCATGTCCCAATACTCTCTCTAAACGTCACCAACTAAGGCCGCCCACACCGTTAAATTTTTAACACCCACGAGTTTTTCCTATATATATATACTCTCTTCTCCTTATTACTCGGGCCCTCTTCCAAGACAAACCTCAGAAACACTAGCTTCTTTGTTGTGTTTTGGTGTTCACTTTGTACTTGAGTATTCTTAATTCTTCCTCAAAAAAGCAAAAACTAAACAGATACTCTGTTTTTTTTTTTTGAATTTTTCCTCTCAAATTTGATCTCTCTCCAAATGGATAAACAATTCAAACAGGATAGCAGCAGCAGCAGCTGGGTTAGAGGCACTGCCATCGGGAAAGGCTCATTTGGGACAGTCAGTCTTGCCTTTAGAAACAACGCCGCCGACTCCGCCGCCGCCGCCGCCGGCTCTGACTGCGTCTTCGCCGTTAAGTCTGTGAATAAAAATTCGTGTTTGCCTTCCCAAATTGAGGCTCTGGAGAATGAGATTAGGATCCTCCGGTCGGTTTCCTCGCCGTACGTGGTGGAGTATTTCGGCGACGACGAAACAGAGGAAGGCACATCGGAGTTTAGGAACCTGCATATGGAGTACTTGCCAGGTGGCACCGTCGCTGACGTGGCGAGAGCACGGCGGCTTGATGATGATTTCGGCGTGGAGGAGGAGAGAATGATTCGGAATTACGCTTTCTGCGTGGCCTCCGGCCTCAAGTATCTTCACTCCCAAGGCATTGTGCACTGTGACGTCAAGGGTGACAATGTGCTGGTCGGCCCCACACCGGGGAATGCCAAGCTGGCCGATTTCGGATCCTCGGCGGCGTCGACGGCCGGAAAATACAGGATCCTGCCGCGCGGGAGTCCACTCTGGATGGCGCCGGAGGTGATCAGGGGAGAGTACCAGGGGCCGGAGTCCGACGTGTGGTCACTGGGCTGCACGGTGATCGAGATGGTAACCGGGAAACCGGCGTGGGAAGACAAAGGTGCGGCGGAGACAATCCGTCGAATTGGCTACTCCGACGAATCGCCTCGAATTCCGACTCAATTGTCAGAAACCGGCCGGGACTTTGTGGAGAAATGCTTACGCAGGGGAATTAGCCAGAGATGGAGCTGCGATCAGCTCCTGCAACATCCCTTTCTCTCAAAGTGTACACAGGCGCCGGAATTCGCCACTTATGCCTCGCCGCGTTGTGTGTTGGATTGGTTCAATTTAGATTCCGATATGGAAGAAGATGAAGAAATTACCAGTATTTGTCAATCGGATTGTAGTCTGGAAGCGAAGGACAGAATTGGGAAATTGAATTCGGGTGGAGGGGCAATCTGGGAATCAGACGGATGGACATTGGTGAGGGGCTTAGTCGGTGTAACGGAAGTGAAGGAGTCGGCGGCGGCGCTTTCGGTTTCAGATAACGATGATGAAACCAAAGAAGAGGTAGGGACAAGTTCGGGATATTGGGGAATCGAAGGGTCAGAATTGGAAGATGAGGATTCCTTTGGGATTGGTGAATTGCGTAAAAGTACAAGTGTGGAATATTTGGCAGATTCTTTTTATCGTTGTGGTAGTATTTGCCCCGCAGTAGAAACAGAGCATCCTCACTGCCACCATGACAACGGCCGCGGCGGCGGCGTAACGGGGCCAAATGACCGGCCGGGACGGGTTATTCCTGAACCTGTTGTTGTTATTGATGAAGAATCACATCCAAGATTTTGTGGAAATCAATATCTACAGTTCTTCTTGTGTTGGTCTTCTTTATTATTATTTCACAGATTCGACCACACGATTTCATGTTGTAACAATTTGATGTATTTTGGCATTTGCTTGTTATATGAAAATATTTGGTTACATTTTAATTTCGTGTTGGTACTTCTTCTCTTCGAGTTCGGCATATTTACGGGATTTGTGTAAGTTTGTTCAACTCCTTCATTAAAAGTTGTTAAAACATGTCTTAGACAAGAACAGAGATAAAGGTTAGATAAAGCCATACGCATGGGCCATCACATTAACAACAGAACTGCAGAAGTGCAGCACACATATTCCTTTTGATCTTGTTTTCTAGTACTTATTTTGTTAGTATAAAATTGTTCTCAAAATTACTTATAGAGATTGAAATAATATCACCAAAAGATAAAAATCAAAATGACCCGGGTCATCTTCTTGCCAAATATAGGTTGGCATTGCAATTCAAGATTTCATCTTATTTGTAAATCGAAATGGTACTGACCATTTTCTGACATATTTTTATTTTATACAGTGATCTTAAGAAAACAAAATAGCACCAACAAAAAATAAAAATCAAAATAACGATAGTCTTCTCACATATTAGAAATGAAAAAACCTAGATAGAACCTATAAAAAAAATTAAATGTGTAAAATGGAGCAGATAAGAAGTTTTATTTTCGCATATTACAAGTGACAAAGAAATAAAATCGAAACGGCATCGACGAAGAATATACACACAGCATTTTGTATGCAACACAACTGTTCATTCCTACATGGTACAAATTTGGAATACCCAAAATTCCATTTGGATGCCACATTTTCTTTTCTACATTTCCTAAAATGGGAAAAACCACAATAGAAGTAGCCTCTGAAATATTGAAACCGCATACTATGAGCCACTTTAATTAAATGGTCTCTGTTGTCATAAAGGGGGGGCGCTTGGACAATGAATGTGTCAATGTGATCGCTTGACGAGGTTTCCAATAGGGGAAGGAGTACAGCTGCTAAAAAGAAACAACCAAAGCTTTATAGGCTTAATTTGAAAACTTTATGATGGGTGCATTATGATTTGTCACACTAGCCCTTTCGAACCGCATTAAAATTATTATGAAGAATGCTGACAGTGTGACTTTTCTGCCGTGGCTTTAGGGGGAATGAATTTTATCCAGAGCAGAGACCTTGTCCGAGGCTACATGCCTATGTTATCATCTTAATTCTTAACGAACAAGAAACATGTCTCCCACACGTAATAATTCTTCGCGGTAAAAAAAAGCAGAGAGATTTACAAAGTTCTGGAAATATAATTAGACAGCATATGTATCTGACTGTGTATGTTATTGTGTGACACCAGGATCTTAGTTTGAAACTTACAAGGGAGCAAATGATTTGCGTAAAAATTCTCCACTTTAATTCGTGGGTGAGGAACACCATCGAATCTTGATTAGATCCCTAGTCATTAGGTTCGAGAATAGTGTAATCTGAAATTAGGTTTAGGCTCGATCTCTTGTCTGGTGGTCTCTTGGTCCAATTCCCTTTTTGGTGTGTTTTGAGTCTTTTGACTTATTTCTCTACCCTTCAAAAAAAAAAAAAAAGGACATTTCTGTAAGGTCCTAAAACATACTTATGTGGCTTCAAAATATCTTAGGCATAAAGGTCTAAATATTTTTAACTCATCGTAATCCTTACTGTTTAACTTTAACCATTATCCCGAGTCCCGACAACCATTATACTCTGATTACTTCTTAATCTGATTGGTCAAGAAATTTAATTTTAAGTTGGTTCTACCTCTTATTGACACATATCAATTTGTAGTGATTATTGTTTCTGGTGATTGAAATCATATAAGACTCATATATATATATATATATATATATATATATCGTACCTTAAACCGATTAAACTAAGGTTTAAATATTTCAACATTGACTCAAAATGAAAATAATTTTTTTCCCCGTTTTTTGATAAAAATTTTTCCCCTCTAAATATATGTAAGATTTGGTTTAAATTTGGCCTTTTAACTATCCTAGCTTATGATATGGATACAACTTATTAATTTTAATGTTTTTTCTCTCTCTCTTTTTTGTGTGTGTGTGTGTGTGGCTAAAAAAAGTCAATAGAGGGTAACAGGGCCCAAACAACATACAAAAATGTAATGGTGGGAGAACCGGAAAAGAACATTGACCAAATATGAACTTTAAAAGATGCGGTCATAGTGTTTCATTCCTAGTTCCAACTTTAAAGATGAACATCAAAATGACCAAATCTATATTGTCAACTTTTCCTTCGTTTCGATTTCCACCAGATCAAAGGAACATTGGCGGCCTACGTTGAACCCAACCAAATTTGATTCTTTGTCATTTTTATCGTTCCGGAAATTCCAACCAAAAAGGATTAGGAGGAACGACTACTTACATGGATAATCAGCAAAGAGATCGTCCATTGAAGTTAATTTGTTTGTTTTACTTCAATTGACTTTAGACTTAAAGATTCTTTTAAAAGTCCGTAAGTATGATGATGTTGCAGTCCGTATCTATCACTCTTCTTGCATTCCAAAACAAAAAAAAGAGGTAATCTTAACGGATATGGCACACTATTAAAAAAACAACAATTAATATTGAAGTCCCAAGATTCTTACCAACTATTGCATTTTAAATACGTTAATCTGGGTTGAGGTTGGATTATTGTTTACGAGTTCTATAATTTTTTTTTATTTACTCTGAAACTGATGGGTTTCGGGAAGCAAAAAGCGTCTTCCAACCAGGCTTTGAGTTGATTAGTCTGTTTCAATTTGCGATTTTCTAATACTCTTGTATAATGTACTAGATGACACCCGTGCGTTGCACATAATAGATCACAATTAAATAAATATTATGTTATAGAATATATATATATATATATATATAATTGTGATAATGAACATTACATTTCTAAATTTATGCAAAGTAGAATAATATTCAAATTATGGTTAAATGTTTCATACATTTGATAATTGTACGACTTTTTTGGATGCCAAATATAAAACAGAAAGAAAAAAAAGTCTTACAAAATTGTTCTTAATATATATTCTGCTTCAAAATAACTCTTAACAACGCAACATATAGTTAGTCATGAGCAAAATTTGTCGTGGCAAATATAATACAACTTAGGAGACTCGTCGATCTTAACTTTTATTTATAACTATTTGAAAGAAGTAGCCAAATAAGCTCTCTTCTCTTAATTTTGAAGAGATATATGGTGTGTAGATAAGAAAAAGTAAGATACAACACAGGTGAAATTAGTCAGGGCAAGCATATTCTAACTCAAAAGACATGTTTATCTTAATTTTTATTTATCATCATTGCAAAACTGATGGCCAAATAAAGCCCTCTTCTCTTCATTTTGAATGGATATACAAAGTGAGATCCAACACAAGTGAAGTAAAGTAGATGAAGAGAAGACATTATTGTCAAATTATTACATTCACTTGAATGATACATTTACTCTACCTTAGAATTCAAATCATAACATCATTGCACAAACATAACTTGCTGGTCAACATTTTTGAATAATATAATTAGAACACCTTTCATATAAAGATGTATACCATCCTTTTCTTTAATCCTTCACGAACTCTTGCAAAAACTATAAACACTTCATTGGCTTCCTTCCACAAAGCCACATTTAAAACTTTTTTTTATAATGTAGAATCTCTAATAGGAATAAAAGATCATTTCACGTACCTGTTATTATAGAGGATGCAGGTAGTATCTTCTAGGATTTGGATACCAAAAACACATTTTGTATAAAAGAACAGAGTGGAAGTAGTATCTTCTTGATCAGAATTTGGGAAACCGAAAACACACAAATCCATTAAAATTATTAATGCACTTGAAACGTTTGTATCTCAAATTATAAGAAAAAACCTTTTTTTTGGTATCTCTTGGCACCCATTCCAAACTTCTAAAGACACTTTCGTTCTCCCCTGAAAATTGTAGGATGCTATGTTGATCTTCTTTGAAACATACAGTCAACTTCTTTTCGATTGGTCTGCATATAATCCATAGCAAATCACTTCACCATAAGAAGGTTGTGGAAAAAATTAAAACAAAATGATTAAAAAACAGTAGCAAAATAAAAAAAATCTCAATGTTTAAAATACTGTTATCTCTGAACTTACGTTTTTAGGGATGTTGTAAATACCCACAAGCGGAGGTATTCACTGTACGTGATCAGAAGATAAAAAGCTCTAATCATTTGCAAAATAGTGACATTATAATAAAACAAATTAGAATAAATCCACATCACAGAATTGAAAGTGTACTTTGGAATTGACTCAATTTGCTTGAGTTCGCAATTGGGATACAAGAGCAGGAAAGTGTAAAGGAAAAAGCAAAAAATGATGACTACATAAAATATAATGTTTTAGCCTTTTATTTGAGAAAACTCACCCGTGCATAAATTTAGGTATGTTTTGTAAATCAATCTGATTTTAGTTTAGATATAAATCAAATTAGTTAGGAGAGATATATGATTATTTATTTTACGTGCTAAATTATCTTCATTTAATTATAAATTTTTTTATGTATAGGAATATATGTATATTTTATGTTTTTAACAGAATTCAAAAAAAGGTCAGTTCTGAGGATAATTATTACCAAAATTTAACGAATTAGTTAATATGTTCACCTATTCTTTTAATTAATAAAGTTTCAAAGTCAGTACTATGTACTCTACAGTCCACAATATTATATACTACCTCCGTCTCAAAAAAAAGTCCACATTAATATTGCAAATTTGTACTGTTTTTAGTACAAATTTCAAAACTCAATGTGGACTATTTTTTTTGGGGCAGAGGGAGTAATAAATTGTACTAAAAAAGAAAAATTTACAAAGTCAACTATTCATTTTATAACAGAGTAAAAAAAAAAAAGAAGAATCGAATTTATTTCAAATTTAAGGAATGATATTTTTATGATTACACAGATGACATAGTTAATAGAATATGAAAGTTTGAAACTTGCCGTAGTTATCATTTGACGTAGTTATCATATTAATAATTATGATAAAAAATCAAATAAAATACAATCTCTGGCTGGTTTTCAAGAATTTAATCAAGACATTCAATAGTTTCTTCCCCAAAAGTGCAGATTAAGTTAGTTTGACAGTAATTGCATTAGTTATGGAGTCTATCCAGTTAATATTAAAATAATAAATTGAATTGAATTTATTATCTTATAAAATATTTAAATTATGGTACAAATTCGAAAATTAGTTAAACGCTCAAAAATATTAAACGTAATAGCAATTAGGTATTAGGTAGTAAAAGTAATACTAAAAGTAATACAATTATTAGAATATAAGATGGATCACAAATCTTGAATCGAATTTTCAGAACTCAGAGACTAAAGAAATTGGGGTTGTACTCTTTAAGATTTATTGTGAGAATAGAAGATTTGGTAAAGAAGAAGATCTGCAAAAAATTGATTAAGATTGGGCGGAGGGATGATTTGGTTCATTTGTTTGTTTGGCTTTTTTTTTTTTTTTTAATTTTTTAAAATTTTTTTTACTGAAGATCCGACCGATGATCTATATATTCGAACACGAGGTTTCTATCGTTTTTTCTTTATTCTTTTACTGAAGATTTAACGATTTTTTTTACTTTTAATATAATAAATCAAAAAAAGAGAAAATTGCCAGTCCTATGTGACAAGTGAAAAATTATCTCAGTTTCCTCTATCTGAGTTTTCTATATTACTCCGTATAAGTTATATAGATTTAATATACTTTGTTCTTGATTGACCAAGGACAATAGATTTTGAATTATTTGAAATTGGTTACTGTTTATTTGGATATGGTTTGGCCGGTGGGTTTTGGCACAAATTAAGTTATCCAAAGATTTCGATCTTTGATTGTAATTAAATTGATACGTTAAGGTACACAAAAAAACTAAGTATGTTAAACATCTATCAATGATATTCCATCAGAAGTTCAGAACCATTCTCACACCTTTGGTTATCGCATATTCAGTTCTCGAATCCAATCCGTATTCATCAGTACAATTTCTTAGATTTCTACGCAACTTTTTGTAACTTTAAGCTAACATCCAAAAGGAACTACCTTATACATTATGGTTGTTTTCCCATATTTTCTTTCCCATCATCCATTGACATGTAACGACATTTAGATGGGAGGATTGAGAAGTGGTAGAGAATCGTAATAACAAGATTTTGGGTTCGTAATGGTGAAATCCAAGAGAAGTAGAGAACAGAAAGTTGTACACGTGAGGAAAGTCGCAACATTTCTTGCAACAAAATGCAAGATTAGTTTTGAATGCTTTTCTATTTGGGGCTATCTGGTAACTTACTTTGACCCATTGAAAATAAAATGATTATCCGTATGATGTTTGGGACGAAAGTCCATCTATATTTACTGAGCCGGTATCCACTTACAATTTGTTGAGCCGAATCCATTTTTGCAGTGTTGTTAGACTCGGCAATGGCAGGGGTCAAGAGTTTTAGGAGTCAATTCGGGTTGACTCGGAGGGTCGATTCGGATGATGTCATCATGACGTAATAAATAATATATAATTATTATATATATTAATAATTAAAAAACTTAATATTTATCCTTTTTCATGATAATAGTCAACAATATTATTTTAAAGAATTTAATTATAGATTAAAAAATAAATATATTAGTTTAATAATTGATAAATTAATTTTTAGTAATTAAAATTTATAAGTTTATAATATAATCAACTTTTAGTATTAATAAAATGCACAACATAAAAATAAATGTTAACGTATTTGAGATATAGTTTAAATTTTGAATAAAACAATGGAGGTTCAAATGTGAGAGAAATAATAAAAGGATTTCTCTTTTAAAGAAATGGTATGTTTAATAATTGAAGTGACAGTTTGGGGCCAAAAATACAAATTAATTCTTTGAAAAAAAGTTATGGAGCCATTTAAGAACAAAAGAAAAACATTTGAACCAAGAATGATAAAGAAATACACGAAATTCGAGGAGAAAAAGTAAAAAAATTGGCCAACTTTTGCAAAAACTAAAAACTTCGGTTCGATCGGAGTTTTGACCGGTTTTGACCGAGTCTTAAAGGAACGAGATTTTTTAAGTAATTCGGCTCGACATATGATCTGGTTCCCGGTTTAACCAGCCAGTCCGAGCCGAGTTTAACAACAAGGCATTTTTGTGAGCATTCACCAAAAAACTATAATTATTTAAAATATCACCTCCAAATGGGTCCATTAACAGAGGGTGATTAGTGATTATGTTAGGTTTTTAAGGTTTTAAAAGGAAGAAGAGAAGATGAACACGTTTAAATCCAAAGAAAGGAAGTTGGGAATGGGTTGGGCTGACTACACAAGCTTGGGCCTTCTAGTGTTATTTCACTTTTTAGATATTTTCCTCCAAATATTTATTTCAACAAGTGAATTGCTTTCCTTAATTAAGTAGGAAGAAATATAAGTAAATACTGTAATTAATATTCACGAAATGGTTATTACTGTATTATTATTCTGGATGCGTTATCTGTGTTCTTTTTATGGTTAAGAGCATTCATGTGGATTTTTCTTAAGTGCAGATTCTCTGCACGGCCCAATAAACAAAACTATTTGTTTTTATCCTAAAGTCATAGTATCTGAAATGTACATAAACCTTCAACTTATGCTGATGTTGCTACTTGCTTTCTTCAGCTGGTAAACTTTAAAATTGTACCACTATTGTCCTAAATATTTCGTCACATCTGCTATTTGATCCAGGCAGGGTAGGAATAACGTCATAAACACCAAAATATTGCCTGCATCATTTTTTTTTTTCTGCGTTACGTTAGACTTATTTCTTTATATTGTCATGCTTATTTATGTTTTTTTTTTTTGGTTTTAAAACAATATTAAAAATTAATGCACATATCAATATAAACGAAAAAAGTCGTTCCAAAGATTACACAAAAGAAGGCACAAATTTAAATTAATTTTAATTAGTATTTTAGAATTAGTACCAAAAAGAGTATAATTGATCAAAGTGCATATTTTTTTAGTCGTCAACTTCAACTTCGTTATTTTTACTTTCAATCCCATTACTCCAAACTTTTTTTTTTTTTTTTAAAATCTTTTCAAAAAGAAGAAAAATCTACTTGTGGATCGTTACTTGTTAGTAGTAAGGTCATTATCAAATTATCATTGTGAAATTTTGGGTAAATTTGTAGCTGCACACATCACACCAGGAAACACACAGTTCTCGAATTAGCCAAGAATTGGACCAAATTGAGTAAAACCCATAAGCACCAACCCGGCAAAGTTCATACCCACTGTTGGATTGATTCACCATAGACACGTGGAAAATTATGTATTTGTAACAAAAAAAGAAAAAGAAGAAAATTAAAAAAAAAAACAAAAAAACTTCCATAATCCCCTTGCGGCCATCACTCTATCTATCTCACACTTTTGCTGCAGCTGCTTAAAGAAAACCCTACCTCAACCCTAAAACGCCATATTCCCTTTCTCCTTCCTTCCTACCGCTCAACCTTTCCTCAATCTCACTCAACTCGGTAAATTTTCTTCTTCTTTTTCTCTATGTTGTTCCTGTGTTGATTTTTGTGAATTCGTTGAATGCATTTAATTGAACGGTTTAAATTTTAATCCGTTTATCGTTTTATTGGTTTTGATGAAAAAAGCTCTGGTTTTGTGTTGCAGAAATTTGGTGTTAACGATGTCGGACGACGAGAGAGAGGAGCGAGAGTTGGATCTCTCCAGCCCGGAGGTCGTCACCAAATACAAAGGCGCCGCCGAAATCGTTAATAGTTAGTCTTTTGCTCTTTCACTTGTTTAATTGATACTTCTTTTTCTTAGTACTTATTTAGCTTTGTTGTTCTTGACCCTGAACAGATTTTTCTATTCAGCTTCTGTTTTTTAAATTTTAGTTTTGGGTGTTTTGGAATGCAGAGGCTCTGCAATTGGTTTTGAAGGAATGCAAACCTAAAGCCAAGATTGTTGATTTATGTGAAAAAGGGGATTCTTACATCAGAGAGTAAGTATTGTCTTAGTTAACCTTAGCCGTTTGTGCTTATAAGTTATGGTTTTTGTGGGTTTTGGTTAACTTATCTTTTGCTCTGTTGGTGTAGGCAAACTGGCAATATGTACAAGAATGTTAAGAAGAAGATTGAAAGGGGTGTTGCTTTTCCAACTTGCGTTTCAGTCAACAATACCGTTTGCCATGTCTCCCCTCTTGCTAGTGAAGAGTCTGTTTTGGAAGATGGTGATATAGTGAAGATGTAAGTGAGAAATTAGACCCTTTTTCTATTTTATTTTGTACCATTTGAGCACTTCAGTATTAGCCGTTCTGGTTTTGGAGAGAGATATAAGAATGCAGTGGTTGACTTATTGGTTCTTTGTTTGTTCTTTGTTGCAGTGATATGGGGTGTCACATTGATGGTTTCATTGCTGTGGTGGCTCACACTCATGTTATTCAGGAGGGGCCTGTTACTGGTAGAGCTGCAGATGTTATTGCTGCTGCGAATACAGCTGCTGAAGTGGCTCTGAGGCTTATTCGCCCCGGGAAAAAGGTAGGGCCACGACTCATTTTATTCATCCTATAGGTTTTGGCAACGTCCGATGATGCAGTAGGAGGTTCATATTGCTTTTAAAATCATTTCGCAATTCTGTGACCATCTCTGAACTTCGTTTCACTCGTTTGTTATGTTTGATACCCCCTGTTTTTATCCTATGTTTATTTTCTTATGTACAGTAATTGAGATAAGGCATATCTGTGGATGTCAGCATCGATCTTTTATTTTACTTCTAGATTAATTTTTCCACTGAACCAAACTGGAAGATTTGCAGGCATGTCAACACTCTTTTTGTTCTAAGTTTCCGTCTTTCTTGATTAGAAGACAAACTTTTTAAGTCTGTGGGGAAGGATTTTTTTGGTCTGACATAATGCCCATTCCCTCTGGAGTACACATTAGTATTTATCATCATTACTGTAGTGTATGTGTGGTTATTCACACCCTTCTTGCTACATGTCTTTTGTTATTGGTCATAATCTACACTTCAGTTTAGATTTCTGTTATATGTCTATATATGTTCATATTCATACGAGTGCAGAAGTATATTAAATGTCTTTTGTGTCTTGCAAAGAGTGGATGGTGTGTGAATAAGATCCTTGGTTGATGTTGTTGGAGGCTCTGAAAACATCAATTATGGATGATGGTTGTGCTTTTCATGCTTGGTTGTTTTAATCACTTTAGTTGAGTTGCAACAGCCACGTTTTGGTTGTGGTCCCTTTTTTAAACTGTGATTATGATTGGTGAACAATTTTGTTACTTTTGCTTCTCCTCCTAGTTACTTTTTTCTGTTTAAACGCAGAATCAAGACGTGGCTGAAGCAATTCAAAAGGTTGCTGCTGCCTATGACTGCAGGATTGTTGAGGGTGTACTCAGTCACCAAATGAAGCAATTTGTAATTGATGGAAATAAAGTTGTGCTGAATGTCTCCAGCCCTGAAATGAGAGTTGATGATGCAGAATTTGAAGAGAATGAGGTTTACTCAGTTGATATAGTTACCAGCACTGGGGAAGGAAAAGTAAGTTTGTGCCTGAGTTCAATCCATATGCATCTGAATTTTTTCATGGCTGCATTACTCATTTGTTCTGTAAACGCTACAGCCCAAGCTACTGGATGAGAAGCAAACAACCATATACAAGAGAGCTGTGGACAAGAGCTACAATTTGAAGATGAAAACATCAAGATTTATCTTCAGTGAGATTAGTCAGAAGTTCCCTATCATGCCATTTACTGCAAGGTCTGCTATTTTTCCTCTGTAGTTTGTTGAACTGATAGAGGGTCTATATTGTTCGTATTTTAATATTCTGTCGCTGTCTTTTGTCTTAACAGGGATTTGGAAGAGAAGAGGGCTAGGCTAGGATTGGTAGAATGTGTTAACCATGATCTTCTGCAGCCATATCCTGTTCTGCACGAGAAACCTGGTGAGTAGTTGTTACAGTGAATTTGATTCATGAAATTGCACTTTCTCAATGTTGTCGGAAGTATGTGTTAATCATGGTTTTGTTTTTGTTATCTTCCAGGTGATTTGGTGGCTCATATTAAGTTCACAGTTCTGTTGATGCCAAATGGGTCCGACAGAATCACATCACATCCTCTGCAGGAGCTGAAGCCAACAAAGACAATTGATGATGATGCTGAAATTAAAGCATGGTTATCCCTTCCTGTCAAGTCAAAGAAGAAAGGTGGTGGAAAGAAAAAGAAAGGTAAAGGTAGCTCAATCTGGTAGTACTAGTGTGAAACAAGAGTATCATGTGCACACTCATATGCAAATGGTCACCAGTTTCCTTTCAAGATATTGAAGTAAAATTAAGTTAAATTTGTTGAGGAACTTGTTTGTTAGTTTTGGTAATTTTTAATTCAGTACTTAAACCTGTGCGATTTGTGCAACTGTGACCGCAGGTAAGAAAGAAGCAGAAGACGCACCACAAGAGGCTGTGGACGAAGCTGCAAATGGTGCGCCGTCAACATGAAGCACCGTTGATGCTGTTGGTTATTTTACCTAACCACCACCTTCTCTCTCAAGTTTGAAGTTATGAAACTCTGTTTTTCTGTGGGATTGAGCAAATTAGATAGGTTGTTTTTCCCCTTGTTTGGGTGATGTAATACAAGATTATATATAAAAGATATATATCATCCTCATCATTATGATGCATCTCCCTGGTTTACATTTCCAATTTTTAAGCAGATGGTTGTCAAGGAAACATTATACGACTTTTGCATCATTTTAGACGAGTTCTCTTTTTTCTTACATGGTGTAGTCTTTTAGCTCATTTTTGTTGGAGACTTTTTATCTATTTTTATATTTATATGTAAGATTACTATATTCACGGGCACCAACATCAAATCACCGACCATTCACCATAGGAAAGCACCTTGTAGAATGGAAAAATAAAGCCCCATTTCCGCCTAAAGGTAGTGCCTCGAGTCCATAATATATTTGGATTCAACCAAAAACAAAGGCAGAAAGAAAAAAAGAAAAGCGCTAAAAGACAACGACCTGCATTGTAACACCCCTACTTGGAAAGAAGAAGTCAAGAACACTTTTGCACTGTAGGAAATGAAATCCAAAGCTTTTTCTTAAAGAAGCAATCTGTGTTAATAGCAGGTCTCAAAGGTTCGTGTAGTGTACCCTTCCTAAAATGATTATATGAGTTAGATCCTTACTTCTAATATAAATAGTACTAAAAGTGAAAATCTGAATCGAACGATTATTTTAAAATAGGGAGAATACTCATTTTATTCTTAATGACAAATTTTTTTTTTTTAATACAATAAAGAAAGCAAATGTCTGAAGAACTACACGATTACATTTTGTTGGTACAAACACCAATAATATCAATGATCCAATTATGGTTTTAATCTTATAGGTGGCTCATTAAACCATGAAAGACCTCCCGGACTAATCGTTGTCAGAGTGACAAGTGAATCGGTTGCGAAATTCGACTTCTTGAAAAAATGTTTAGCTTTGACCGTCCATTCCCTCTTCAATAGGTCTCATATTTACTAAGGGGGGGAGGGGGATTTTTGAAGCCAACAAAGATAGTACTCAAAGCCACCTCAAAATTTTTTTGACGATTTTGCCCCTGCCAGTAGAGAGAGAAAGAAAATGACTAATTCAGAGGTAAAAAAAAAAAATTTAAAAATAACCGAACCGGTCAAAAAAACGTCCCGGTTGAACCGGGGACGCGCAAGAAACGCGTCCGGCCATTGAACTGGACGCATACATTGCGCGCCCCGGTTCAACCGGGACGCGTATATTGCACGGCCGGACCGGGTGAAATCGAACCGGACGCGCAATATACGCGCCCCGGTTGAACCGTGAACGAGCAATAGGCGCGTTCAATCCATTGGCCGGACGGGTACAACACGCGTCCCGGTTCAACCGGGTTTTTTTTTAATTTTTTTATTTTTTTTATTTTTTTTAATAATTTTAATTTCATGCATGTTATTATGTTAATTTATTTTGTAATTTAATTAGTTATGTTAAGTAATTGAATTAGTTTAATTATATTTATTTATTGCATGTTATGTTAATTAAATTTAATTAGTTATGTTAAGTAAATTAATTAGTTGAATTATATTTTTATTTATTGCATGTTTTGTTAATTTAATTAAGTAAGAATATTATTATTGTATATCTTAAATTAATTAGTTATGTTAAGTAATGTAATTAGTTGAATTTTATTTATCTATTTAGATTTAATTAATTAGAGATAATATTTATTTAGGGGGAAATAATTAAATAATTAAAGAATTTTGTGGAATAAGTATTTAATTTAGTAAATAATTAATCTATTTAATTAATCGCTAATATTTATTAGATAGGTATTGGGAAATTTAATTTAGTAAATAATTAATCTATTTACTGTAAATATATGTTTTTTTATTATTTATTATAATTGTTTAACTTTTTTAAATTATTGGAATATGTGTTTAATTTAATTTATTATGATGCAGTTTTTTATTGTTGTAATTTATGTTTAATTTGCAGGATTCTTTAGAAGATTTTGGTGGCGATGGTCAAGATTACAGTATATTATTTGCTACAGATGAGGAATTTGCAAACAAGGATGATGCTGTTGCTTGGGTGAAAGGCATGGGCATGGCAAATGGTATGATTATAAATGTAGTTTCTAGTAAGAAGAAGAATGCATTACGATGAGATCTTGTAAAGGGGAAAGGTATCGATTGATGATGGTGAATACTATGTCACATCGATTCGAAGACACACGAACACGGGTGTAAATTTAAGTTATATGTGCACTCAGTGGATGGGAAGTGGCGCATTCGGGTGTATCCTGGTGAGTTTGGAATGCATAACCACGAGCTGTTTGACGAAGATCATCCCACGAGAGGCCTTAGCGATGGAGTGAAACAGCTTATACAGGGTATGTCCAAAGATGGGTGCAGACCGTGTCAGATCATGACTGCGATTCAGAGGATCTTTCCTGATGAAAAAGTTAACAGACGGCAAGTGTACAATTTCAGGAAGAAATTGCGTAATGAGGGATTCCCGGTGTTGGGTGAATCGAGTGCCATGGATGCCGCGACAAAGACACTAGCGGTGGCCAAGCATCATGGTTATATCATCATGACAGATTGCAATCAGGAGACAGGTGTGCTGACTCGTGTATTTTTTGCACATCCTGATGCTGTCAATTTATTTTGCAGTTATTTATGGGTCGTCGGGATAGACTCAACATACAAGACAAACAAGTACAAAATGCCGTTGGTTGAGTTTATTGGGATGACACCGTGCAACCAGAACTTCTTGATTGCATACGCCCTCTTGAGTGACGAGACTGCTGACAGTTATTATTGGGCTTTGAGACAGTTAAGGGATTTGTTACCTCGTCATCTTTCTCCAGCTGTTATTGTTACTGATCGGGAACTGGGGTTGATGGCGCCGCTGGGTATGGTATTTCCAGATTCATGCCACTTGTTGTGTGTTTGGCACGTTTATAAGAATGTAAAGCGACATCTCAACAAGGAATTGAAAATTGATGCCAAGATTGCAAATGGTTTTACATATGGGTTGTGGAAAGATGTTGTGGAAGCTAATAACCAGGATGAATACAATAAAGCTGTTGCCGTAATAAACCGTCGTTGCGATCTTTTCCGAGAGTTCTTACTTATATCCGAAGACATGGCTAGTGGTTGACTACAAATTCGTCAAGGCATGGACGAATGCGTGTTTCATATGGGCAACACTACTACGGGTAGGGTGGAGAGCGCGCACAAGCGATTAAAACACATTTGAAACATCCACGGCGTCCCTGGATACACTTTGGGCTAAGGTGCACTTGGAAATACAGAGTCAGCTAACCGAAATACGGTAAGTTCTATTCCATTATATTAGAAGTTATATTTATTATAATATATTCAGTAATTATTTTGTTTTTATGGCATTTTACGTAGAATGTTTTACAGTAATTGGCTACATTCAGGTACAAACTGGAGTACTCAAGACAGAAAATTGGCACCCATTATTGCGGTTTTCCACTGAACCGCTTGAAGTTTCAAGTTTCACATACTTGTTTGCAAAAGCTGAACACTGAGTGGTCGAAGGTGCAAGAGTGGAAAGAAGAAACCAATGACCGATGCGATCATGTGGTGTACTGGACTTGTCGAATTCCATGTGCGTGCGCCCTCAAAAAGGCTGCAGATGCCGGCACATCGATAACTCTTAAGCATATTCGCCCATTTTGGGCGACCCTTAATATCGGTGAACAGGCTGGTACGAGTGCTCCTACCGATGTGGATGACGAGGTCCTTTATACCAGACAGTTGATGGAAGAGCTGAACGAGTGTCCTAAGGCAGTACGACGTACTGTAAATAGGGTTCTCCACCGGACGCCGGACGGGCAATGAAGCCGTCCGGCGGCGCGACCGGGACGCGCAAGCAACGCGTCCCGGTTCAACCCGGAACGGGCGCTTTGCTCGTTCTGAGTTGAACCGAGACGCGTTGCTTGCGCGTCCCGGTCGCGCCGTCGGACGGCTTCATTGCCCGTCCGGCGGCCAGATTCCAATTTTTTTTTCCTTCAATTTACAAAGTTTTTTTTGAAAAAAAACGTACCCGTGATGAGATCGGCTCTTTCCCGCTTTGATTCTTCCGTGTTGCCATCAATTTTTCACCAAATTAGACTTCAAAATGGGATTTAGAAGGGTGGTGGTTTCAAGTTTTCTCTCTTTTTTCCTTTGGTGGAAGTTTAAAATGTAAAGGGCAAAATGGTCCAAAAAAATTTATGGTGGCTTCAAGTAGTAAAGATAGTGGGTTCAAAAACTAACACCCTTTACTAATACCAAGGCACGATGTATGCCAAACACCTCCTCATCCCCATTTACCATGGTCACCTCACTCAAATTATGCACCCCGCCACTATGTTCATACCACTTTCCCAGCACAGATATAATCTCTGAAACAAAGCCCATAACTCCGTTCCTATGATCGGGCAATAGCCGATATTCATTATAAACCTATCCTTCTAGCTGCCTAGATGGTCTGACTAGACCCCGGCACTAGTCATGCCCGTCGAGGCATTAAACGCCCCATCCAACCTTCTAGTGGCGCCAACCATCGTATCCAAACAAACTCATGAAAATTGTAGGTAAAAACGAAGAAGAAAACAACTCATGAAATAACGGCCCAACTTCTAGGACTATTTTTTGGGAGTATTATTCAACTAAAATTTATAGAAAACCTCGTTTCATCTTTTGATTATTATTTGCCATTAGGCCGATCACAGCGGCCCAACGTACCTCTGTTTTTCAGAATCCAGAATCACATGAACATGAAGCTGGAGCAAGCCAGCTGGGAGCTTTGCCCCCTCGTCCGAGATAGAGAATCCAAATGTTGCTTTATCTAAATAATAATCGGATGTCTTGTTGAAATTATTTATCCTACATTGGTATCTGGAAGCACTTTGTATCACTATATAAGTACTATGGGCTACTCCCTTCATTGCCAATTAGTTTAGAGGTGGAATCCCATAGACTTCTATATGGTATCAGAGCGGGCTCGGCCTGTGGTGATTTTAAGTCTATGATGTTATTCCGTGGCCCAATTTAAGTCCGCGGCGCTATTCCATGGCCCGTGATGTTATTCCATGGTTTATTTTGTGACCCTGGTGATTCAGTCCAAGCTCGTTGGACTTGAGGGGGAGTGTTGGAAGTATTTATCCCACATTGGTGTCTTGAGGCACTTTGTATCACTATATAAGCACCATGGGCACATTGGTGTCTGGAGGCACGCACTTTGTATCACTACATAAGCACCATAGGCTACTCCTCTCATTGCCAATTGGTTTTGAGGTGAAATCCCATGGATTTCTATATATTTATTTATTTATTTTTGAGAATTAAATACCTAGAATCATAAAAAGCACAGATTTGAAATATTACAAATTTGTATTGTACTATTACAGTATGACTTGGGTGTAAAGCTGATGATGTTAGTTCACGATCATATGTATTTGAACTACCATAATCCCGAGCTGACAGAGCATTGATATTCATCATTTTTTAATATGCATTTCTCATTTGTCTGAGCAAAGTTCATATCTGAAAAACTTCTAGGTAAATTTGGGGTACTCTTTTAGGTCTCGATGCGCTTAATCTCAGAATTTTAATCTAAATACGAGTTGTCTTTGGCTTAATTTAAAAAAAAAACGTGAGAAGAGAAATTAATTAATCATCTCTTATTATGCATACTCTAGACCTTATAGAAAATAAGTTCACTGAGAAAGTATTAATTATGAGGCAATATCTGAAAGTTTAAATTCTTGTAGGGCAGGGAACAAATCGATGGACATGACATAACATAGCCATGTACAAATAAACAATAATTGAGATATGTGCACTTTTCCATATAAATTTATTGGTGATCATACTTTGACAGGGGAAGACTTGAAAAATTATGAACCTATAAATTCGTATCTATTTGGGAGCTTTTGGTTAAATTATCTTCTCTGGTTTTTGCTGTCATAGGACCCCCAAAATGATTCAACTGGATGATGTTTTTATAGTTTGTACCAAATATTGAATTTTTATGACCATCCAATCAATCCCTTGTTTTCAAGAGTCAAACGCCAACTCTGGGAGAAAACTTAAAAATGATGAAACTTTATATTTATTTAAGTTATACGTCCTCAAAATAAAAGGTTTTTTTTTTTTTTTTTTGGTACAATGAAAAAATTAATAACCTAAAATACTAAAGGATCACAACACACATAGATGGAAGCTCACGTCTTCAGGGCGCACATTATTACTTATAATGCATTCAAAATGCGCGAGAGAATACATCACGAACCAACAAAGCAAAACAAATCAAAATCTAAAACATATTTAATGTTTGTTGTTCTTCAATCTAAAGTAGTCCTGAATCCTGATGAATGAGGTGGGACACATCAAAGATGTTTTGGATTATTGCATTGAATGATATGATAAAGAGAGGATGCCAAACACATTCTTTATCCCTACCCATGCATTGTATGTTCTATCAAAATGATCCATCATTGTAAGCTGTACGGTAGGTACACAAATCATCGCTTTTCGTGTTTTATGGTGAAAGATCGAACAAAAAGAAGACATTATATTTGTCATCATGCATTCATATTTGATCAGTTCATTGCATTGTGGCCTGGACTGGACTGGATGGCCTCTCAAATTGGATGGTTTTTACTGTCCAGCTTCAAACTTATGGTCATTTTATGTTGACTAGATTGATGCTAGCTAGCTTACATTATCTATGGTTGTTTGGGAGTCAGTGTTCAATTGAAATGTGTATATGTACTTGCATGAGAAATCCTAGACTAGGACATATCAACGGCGAGTAATCGTAATTTCTTGATTTCTTTCAAATGGTTAATTAATGTTGAAAACAATCAAAATTTTCTTAATAACCACCAACTTAGTAATGAAACCTTGGCGCAAATGTTAAATAGTCACCACTCACTAAACCGTCGTTTTAGAGGATGAGTTCTACTAACAGTACAAAACTTGTCGAATTAAAGTACATGCAGTTAGTAAAGTAAACTCGTCAAAACAAATACTCCCTCCGTCCCATAATTATTGTCCACTTTGCCCAAAAAATTTTGTCCCAAAATTATTGTCCAATTTGACTTTTTATGGATCAAGTTACACATTTGTCCTTAGTAAAAAATATTACCCATAAAATCTCAGTGGTTAAACAATTACTTATGTAGGGGTATATCCGGTTATTTAAGGTAAAATATAGTTAAATTTGACCAAAAATAAAATTTTTCATTTTAATAAAACTGGACAATAATTATGGGACGGAGGGAGTATTAGGTTTTTCTTAGTGTTTTAGAACACTAAAAGTCTAACAACAACCGTTCATATGAAGTTTCCCTTTGTTAATCATTTTTGTTTCTATAAATTTTGCCATATAATAGTCTAGATATTTAAAAAAAAAATAGAAAAAATCTGTACCATTACAAGTTATGGAACCCCGATTGGCTTATCCGAACAAAAAAGAAGTCATTTGTCCAATGATTTAGACTGCCTTAGCTATATAGTTCCAATTAATGCCCAACTTGAGGAGGATAAATTTGAGAGATGGGGCCAAGTCTAAGTAGTAAGGAATACCCTTTTTGAAATGGTCCCAATTTACCGAGCAATACTAATTGAGTGATTGAATATTTTACCCAATTTGAAGCCTATTAGTGGCGTGCTGGTAATATATTCGCCCAATCATCACTCATCAGCATTACGATTGCCTAATGTAATGTAGTCCGTCAATTTCGTTTTTAATATTTCACTTTATTAAATTATTAAAAAATTATAATAATTGAAGTGAGACATTAAACAATAACAAAGTTTACCAACAATATAAGAATTTTCAAAAATAAATATAGTTTTATCGATTTTTGATGGGGTCTCAGACATTAAAAAAAAAACCTTAAAATTTTCTAAATCTCTGAAATCGAGCACTACTGTTTGATAATAAAGAAGAAATAAAAAAATTCACAATTTTACCACTTGTCACAATGACATTTCTGTGTTTATACTACGGATTAAGTATTATTTTCGTTTTTTCAAACAACTCATGATACTACCACTGAATTAAACTATCCAAGTATCAGATATTTAATGATGTTTTTGTGTAATTCTTTGTCACACCATTTATAAACATATATCATATATGTCATGTGTGATTTTAGGTAATACTATAATGTAACTTGCAGATAAATGATAATTATATATACCTTAATGTTACACCTCTTAAATTATGAAAAGTGTAACACATGAATACTTATATCGTTTTTGGAAAAAAAAAAGAAAAAGAAAAAGAAAAGAAAAGAAGAAGACTGAAATTAAGCAATCCAATACTTTTTGCAATTTGTAATTGTGTTCGAATATTATATTTTGAATGATTTATGCATAATTGCATATGGTGACACCATTATGTTTCAGTTATTTTTATAAAACTTGACACTTGTGACTTGTTACAATCCCAAAGCCAAAATGGTACCCCGAAAATAATAAAGAAAAAGAATTGTAACTGAAGCAAAAATAAAATAAAATAGTGATATGACGTGCATAAGATGTTCGTTCTTTTTGTCCCAACAGAAAAAGTTCCTCGGACCATCCCACATGAATATGATTTTTCCCGTCTTGACACCCGACTGGATTAACACACCAAAAAGTTACGTATCACCAAAAATGGAAATACTAAAATGAAATAAATTGGGACCTTTCCCCTGAAAATTCCAAAGTTTTCCAAATTTTATTTTTATATGAGATATATTTAACATAAGATATCCGAATTCACGTAGCTAATTAATTCTGAAAAAAAAAAAAACCCTCTTGGCACAACATTTCGGCGGCTTTTGTTACATGCTCATGTCAAGGATTGAACCAATATCATAAATAAACTATATTAAAATGACTACAAAATTTTCATAGCTAATTATTATATATATATTGCCAAAGATCCGTTTGAATAAGAAGGCTAGAAGACGAAAATGATGTATTTGCGTTTTCTTTTTTTTTGTTCGAAATTTGTAGAGAGAGGTGCCAATTTATTAGAACTTGAATGACGTGAATGTTTTAAGTTTTTCTTCTAAAGTTTATACTAATCATCGTCGTCATAAGTAAGCCGTAACCCAAGGATTAACAATTTGGTAAATGGCCGAACTAATTTCTGTTTTTGTGCTAAATTTTGTTATCATTACATACCAAAATTCAAGAACGGCCGCGATTAACAAGTGCCAAAATAGAAGATCCCTCCCTTTCGTAAAATAATAATTGGATTAACTTATAGAACTTTTGGTTGGTAAAATCGGCCATCAAAATGACCAAAATAGTAAAGTTGATTTCGGAAATAGCAAAAGTGACCCCAAATAGCAAAGAGTGATTTCGGATATCACATATAATAAAAACATAAAAAAAGTATGTTAAATATTATAAGAAAATTGAAACTGAATTTTCTTGGATCCTTGATGGAATTGAAGAATCTGAAGAATCCCAAGAAAAATGTTGAGAAAGTGAACTCCATAATTTCACTTTCAGTCCGAAAACAATTTGCATCGAATCGTAGATTCCAATTAAAGGTCCTCAGAACTATAAGCATTGAACATACTGATACCATGATACTCACTAGATTGACAAAATGTCCATTTTCATTATCTCATCCAAAGATGTTTTCCCAGTCTTTTTCTCCGAAAATTTGTCAATACAAACAAAAAGGGGATGAATCCCTTGAACCCTAGCATTTTGCATTTTTTTTCTAATTGAATTCATTCTCATTGACTAAGGCATCTTCAATGGTAGCTTCTACTGTGTCATTCCACATTAGTTTTCTACCTTTGTTAAACTAATAAAGTTTAATAAAACGGACATTAATATGAACGGATAGGTTTCAACAAAGTGAACTATTTATGATCGGTCGAGCAACGCGTCCTAATTTAAAACTAACTACAATAGCAAGTGGCAAAAAATGGTAAGGGGTAAAAAAAACCACTTGGTAAAGCGGAGGCGCAAGAGAGAGAGAGAGAGAGAGAGAGAGGAAGAGAGAAAAATTTACAAAGCAATTAATGCATTCTGCAACTTCTTCGCGTCCACATTATTTGCCTGTTTGGCAATTTTGCTTTATATATAGGTGACCAGATTACACTTTCTACATTCTCTGCTGCCATTAAGTCATTATAACTCACTACTCTGCCTCTTTTGTGTATATATATATAAAGTTTCACTCCCCTCATCATCCTCTGCCATTTCTTGCTCTGAACTCATGTTCTGGAAGGATCTTTTTAACTGCATTACATTTATATGAGTTGATATACTTCTTGCTTTCCCAAAAACCATTTCTTTTGACCATTTTTTGTAATTCACCAAAGAAATGAACCCACCACCCCAGCAAGAATCTGAACAAAAAGGGAGTGCTAAAGAGGTATTCTGAATCAATTCCCCTGTTTTCTCAGTTGGGATTTTTATTTGAATTCAAGTTGTCACATTAACTCATGTCTACGTATGATTCAATTGAGTTTTTTTGGGGTTGATTTTGGACACTAGTTTCTGTGTTGTAATCTTCTCAGAAGAGCTTGTCGGTTGCGATCAATCTTTATAGATAATTATATGTCGTTGCGGAGAGCTCGAGATATAAAAGTAGGCTTCTTTAGACTTCTTTTACAGCTTTGTGAAATTGGGCTCTGAAAATCCATGGCGATCAATTCTGTGATACAGTTTTGCTGTCTTAGATTGGATTTTTTTGGCAACTGGTGTGATTTTTTATGTTGTATCACCGCTCATACTAAAAGTACCCAAGTTGGCAGCTAAAACTGTCCCAGTAAGTAGGATTTTGCTTTGTGTGAATTAGCCAGGGGAAAACAATTAAGCAACCCGATGATTTGTATTGAAATAGAGCTGATTTTTGCCTGCATGGTCGTGGAAAAATGAGTTAAACTCGTGAATTTGAAATCAAAATGCCGAACATTTTGCTCAGAGCCCGTACCTTTGATCTAACATTTAATGGTGGCATGAACCAGGCTTTGAAGAAAGCATCATGTGCTTCGGTTCTCACATTGGCCTATCAGAGTCTTGGAGTTGTTTATGGTGATCTCAGTACTTCTCCGCTCTATGTTTACAAAACAACATTTTCCGGGAAGCTCAGACTTCATGAGGACGATGATGAGATTTATGGGGTGCTCTCATTCATTTTCTGGACATTTACTCTCATTGCCCTTTGCAAATACGTGTTCATTGTCATGTCTGCAGATGATAATGGTGAAGGTTAGTTTTTCTGATCATCCCTGAACCTAAATTCTTATAATTTTACAATTTTTTATTATTTTTATTTTTTTGACAGAGATGCATTACTGTTCTGTTTCTTGCTGTAGGTGGAACTTTTGCATTGTACTCATTGTTGTGCAGGCATGCAAGACTTGGGATCCTTCCCAATCAACAGGATGTGGATAAGAGATTGTCGTCTTATGCAATAGAGGATTCAGCAGACACGTGGGAGAGTTCTGCTCTCAAGTCTTTGTTTGAGAAGCACCCCAACATCCGAAATGGCCTCTTGATTTTTGTTCTTCTGGGGACGTGTATGATGATTGGTGATGGCATTTTTACACCAGCTATATCAGGTAAAGACGGTGATCTTTATGCAATGTGTTTCGTCCGAATAATATTTTAGTTTTGAAGAGTTGAGTTTCGTTATTATTAAGGATGGACAATCTACTTTTTCAGTTCTTTCAGCTGTTTCGGGCATCCAAGTTAAAGCGACAAACCTTCACGAGAGTGAGTTGATCTGCTACTTCTCAAGTGATTGTATTTCTGATTATGTTGTGTGGTTATAATATCCTGCATCATTCTGATGGTCTAGAAATTTGGCCTAAACCCTCCTTTTTCGTCTTCAGATTATGTTGTGGTTATATCCTGCATCATTCTGGTGATCCTATTCTCTATTCAACATCATGGAACAAATAGAGTTGCTTTTTTGTTTGCACCCATCGTGGCGTCCTGGCTTTTGTGTATCAGTGGTATTGGAATATATAACATCATGAAGTGGAACCCGCAGATATATCGAGCTCTTTCTCCATATTATATGTTAAAATTTCTGAAGCAAAGAGGTTGGGAAGGTTGGGTTTCCCTAGGTGGAGTAGTCCTTTCAATCACAGGTAGATTTCCGCCCCTTACCGATCACAAATTCTGCAGTTTACGCAAGTTATTCTAGCACCACTTTATTTGTTTTTTTTTTCTCAGGTGTGGAGACAATGTTTGCTGATCTAGGCCATTTCTCTGCCCTGTCAATTAAGGTATTGTAAAAGGTGAAATTAGTGCATTTGTCGCCTGTCACGACTATCTTGTAACTGTATTATCTCTTGTTATCATCTGTAGGTTGCTTTTACATTTCTGGTATATCCATGCCTGATTTTAGCATATTTGGGTGAGGCTGCATTTCTCTCTCAGAATCATGATGATATCCAAAGAAGCTTTTACAAAGCCATACCAGGCAAGATAGTTTCTTAGAGCAACCTATTTTTCTTGGGGGTTTTTCCCCCAACTCTTGTACACCTTTATTTATGCCGATAACCTGAATGCAGAAGCCGTATTCTGGCCAGTATTCGTGGTGGCAACTTTAGCAGCCGTAGTGGGAAGCCAAGCTGTGATTTCTGCTGCATTTTCGATTGTTAGTCAGTGCTACGCGTTGCATTGTTCTCCCCGTGTAAAGATTGTCCATACTTCGAGCAAAATACACGGTCAAATTTACATTCCAGAAGTTAACTGGATACTAATGTGCCTGTGTTTAACAGTAACAGTTCTACTCAGAGACACAAACAGGATTGGACATGCTTATGGTAAGAACCTGAAGTCACAAACCAACCAGTTTATATAGCCTGATCACGTCGTTTACATGTCTTTTTGTATTTGCAGGACTATCAGTCACATCTGTCATGTTCGTGACAACATGCTTAATGACTTTAGTGATGATAATTGTATGGAAGCAGAAGGTTCTGATGGCTGTTGCCTTCTTAGTTTTTTTCGGATCAATAGAGCTTCTGTACTTGTCGTCAGCCTTCTTGAAGGTACCAGATGGTGGTTGGATTCCCATCGTGCTGTCTCTGACGCTTACATCCCTAATGTTCATTTGGAATTACGGATCACTGAAGAAACATCAGTATGATGAGGAGAACAAAGTCTCCATGGAAAGGATACTATCTTTGGGACCTAGCCTCGGAATGGTAAGAGTTCCCGGCATAGGGCTTGTTTACACCAGTCTAGTGACAGGAATACCAGCCGTATTTGGACATTTCGTGACGAATTTGCCGGCTTTTCATCAAGTGCTAGTTTTTGTTTGTGTGAAATCTGTTCAAGTCCCATACATCAGTGAGGAAGAAAGGTTTCTGGTAAGCAGGATATATTCCAAAGAGTATGGCATGTACAGGTGCATCATCAGGTATGGTTACAAAGATGTGCAACAAGAAAACTATGACTTTGAAAACAGGCTGGTCTGTGAAATCATCAGTTTCATACAAATGGAATGCACATGTTCCGAAATCAGTGGTCATGATGATCAAGGGCTTAATATTTCCGAACACAGATACTCCTGTCCGAATCATGATGCAATGATGCAGCCTGTCGGCGACAACATTCATGTACTAATATCAGGCGGCGAAAGTTGCGCGAGACCTCAGTTAAAGGATGAGGCAGCACACATACTGAGAGCTAGAGAATCTGGAATGGCTTACATCATGGGGAGGTCCTATGCCAGGGCGAAGAAATCCGCATCGATTTTGAAGAAATTTGCCATTGACATTGTATATTCTTTCTTAAGCAGGAATAGTAGAGGGCCTGAAATGGTATTGAATGTCCCTCATGCTTCGTTGCTGGAAGTTGGGATGGTTTACCATGTCTAGTTTTTTGTACATAAATGTGCAGGTAAAAGAAAATCATCAGTTCTTATTAGTAGTTTGTAGGGAGATGAACTAGAGTCCGGATACATGAAGGATCAATGACTTAACATAGAAGCTGGAGAGGAGGTTTATAGGAAATGGAGGATTTTTAGAACTACCCTGTGAGGATTCTTTTTTCTTTTTCTTTTTTTTTTTATAACTATTTTTTTTATCATTATTATTTTTTTCCTTTTTCTTTTTCTAGTTCATCTTAGAAATAACCTCACAAAAACTATATTGCTGGAGACTAGAAACGGACGAAGCAAGCGCAGCATACAAACTTATTCCATTAAGATTTTATAGGACCATCTTTTACAAGTTTTTCTAGTTAATCGCACTCGGCAATCATTCGTGTATAGTCGATTGAGACTTTATATGTAATCGTCATTTGACAATCGTCTGGACTCAATTACGCCTCTTTTTGTCTCGCTCAATTAATTATTTTATTTTTGAAACGAAAGCAAACAAGTTACATATAAACGGACTATCAATTACGACACATGCCTATCGTATTAGTCATTGTTGACGACGATGGACACCCTGCAAATATGAAAAAAAAAAAAAAATCACACGTCTCATTACTGTGTGTATCACTAGTATTTTATTTATGAATACCATATAGCAAATTAGCAATATATTTACGAATATCACACCTAAATTAATACGTAATTCTAATATGCATAAACAAATATCTCAACAGAAATTAGCTGTTATTCTAACTAGTGACACGTGTTTACTTGGAACATAATAAACGGGATTAGTGTTGTAGATTTGTAATCAATTAGGAAAATACTGTGCTACTACTAATTACATTCGAATTCCTTCAAAAAAATATTTACATGCAATTAGTCTCAAATTTTGTACTAAAAATAGACTAAACCCCTTCTCCAAGTGTTGAAGACGGGATAAGATTTGTAAATTTGTAATCAATTAAGAAAATACTGTACTAATTACATGCAAATAATGTCGTTTTTTGTTGTACTGAAAATAGAGTAAAACCCCTTTCTCCAAGTCGGAAATTAATAATACCGAAAAATTAAATTAACCGCCTCCGAAAATCAAGCACCACCAAGAACTCTCTATATATTCTGCTCCTCCTTTCAGAATAACTTCCACATCAGTCATCACAGTATTTTCGTCACCCTGTCCCCTGTTTCCCACAAATTTTCAATTCAGTTTTATTTTCGCAGTAACAAACTTCGGTAATGGATTCCATGGATTCTTTGTCGAACGCATTGGATTCTCTGAAGCCGCAGCAAGGCGGCGGCGAAGGCGGTTGCACAGCCGATGACTGCAAGCTCTCCGCCGTCCACGACGCCCATGGTCCGTCGGTGGTCGTCGGCCCTGAGGCTACTCTGGGCCGCCACTTAGCCCACCGGCTGGTCGAAGTCGGAGTCAATGATGTTTTCTCGGTGCCCGGTGACTTTAACCTTACCCTGTTGGATCACCTCATCGCCGAACCCGGGTTGAACAACATTGGGTGCTGCAACGAGCTCAATGCCGGCTACGCCGCCGACGGTTACGCCAGGCATCGCGGTGTCGGAGCATGCGTTGTTACCTTCACCGTCGGTGGGCTTAGCGTTCTTAACGCTATCGCCGGAGCTTACAGTGAGAATCTCCCGGTGATTTGTATCGTCGGGGGGCCTAATACTAATGATTACGGGACGAATCGGATTCTTCATCATACAATTGGGCTTCCTGATTTCAGCCAGGAACTGAGGTGTTTTCAGACGGTGACGTGTTATCAGGTAATTTAGTTATATGGATCGGTTCTCTGTTTTTCTATATGAAATTTTTGTTCGATTGAGTTTTTGGATTTTTGGATGTTCTTGCTTGTGTTTTTTTGCGAAGGCTGTTGTTACTCATCTGGAAGATGCGCATGAACAAATTGATCGGGCGATTTCTACTGCTCTGAAAGAAAGCAAGCCTGTTTACATTAGTATCAGTTGCAATTTGCCTGGGATTCCTCATCCAACTTTTAGCAGAGAACCAATCCCGTTTTCAATCTCGCCTAGGTATGCATACGTTCATTTAGGGACTTTCGGATTTGATTTGTTCTTTCTTTAAAGTTGGGTTTTCTTTATATGATGATTATGAATTGGACTTCAACTGGTAACAGATTGAGCAATAAGGCCGGACTTAAGGCTGCAGCAGAAGCAGCAGCAGCCTTCCTCAGCAGAGCTGTGAAGCCTGTCATAATTGGAGGTCCGAAACTCAGAGTTTCAAAGGCACAAGATGCCTTCGTTGAATTGGCTGATGCCAGTGCGTATCCTGTTGCTATTATGCCATCAGCTAAGGGTCTTGTGCCAGAGCACCACCCGCACTTCATTGGTACTTATTGGGGAGCAATCAGCACATCTTTTTGTGCTGAAATTGTAGAATCGGCTGATGCTTATGTCTTCATCGGGCCAATTTTCAATGACTATAGTTCTGTGGGATATTCACTGTTAATCAAAAAGGAGAAGTCCATCATTGTGCAGCCTGACAGGGTTGTCATTGGAGATGGCCCTGCTTTTGGGTGTGTTCTTATGAAGGATTTCCTTCAGGAATTGGCCAAGATTGTTAAGAAGAACAACACTGCTCATGAGAATTACCGAAGGATCTTTGTGCCTCAGGGAGTTCCACTGAAAAGTGAACCTAACGCCCCCATCAGGGTAAACATACTCTTTCAGCACATTCAGAAGATGCTTTCTGGTCAGACTGCTGTGATTGCTGAGACAGGGGATTCGTGGTTCAACTGCCAGAAGCTGAAATTGCCAGAAGGCTGTGGGTTAGTATTGAACTGCTTTTGTGTTTTTTTATCCTTTCTTTTTAATCTGTAAAGATTGGAGTACGACAGTTGGTATTGTAGGTATGAATTCCAAATGCAATATGGTTCGATTGGATGGTCAGTTGGTGCCACATTAGGCTACGCTCAGTCGGCACCTGAAAAGCGCATTATCGCTTGCATTGGCGACGGTAGCTTCCAGGTGAGAGATCCTTAGAACATACATCTCATTCCAGTAAACACATTGACTTTAAGATGTGCATGGAAGTAACACATTTTGTTAAATTGTTTTTGTATTTTTCCAGGTTACTGCTCAAGATGTGACAACAATGATTAGGAACAACCAAAAGAGCATTATATTCTTGATCAACAATGGAGGATACACCATCGAGGTTGAAATCCATGATGGCCCTTATAATGTTATCAAGAACTGGAACTACACAGCTGTAGTGGATGCATTTTGCAATGGATCAGGCAATTGCTGGACTACGAAGGTAACTTAAGTTACAGCTATTGGATGGTTTCATGGTGCTTTAGAAATTATGCAGTTATATCAAAACTACGACACCAAACAACTGTTCTGTGAATTTGTTTCTGACATACAAATATGCACATGGTTTTTTGTAGGTACGCACTGAGGAGGAGCTGACTAAGGCTATTGAAATTGCAACTGGTGAGAAGAAAGACTCCCTCTGCTTCATTGAAGTGTTCACTCACAAGGATGATACAAGCAAGGAGCTTCTGGAGTGGGGTTCTAGAGTTTCTGCTGCCAACAGCCGCCCACCAAATCCTCAGTAAAAAGCATTTGATCAGTAGATAGAGAATTCAAGCAAAGGAGTTTCTTTGATGACTGAGTTTTAATTGCAAGTATCTTGCATTTTGATAGCAGTACTTTTTGCTTTATTTTACTAGTTGGTGTTGTTTAATGTCTAGTTTTTACTGCCAATACTGAATTGGAATCAGGATGAAACATAGTTCACCTGATGCAAACTTTGGTCTGAAGTCATTATCTAGTTGTGCAATTCTGGGAAAATTTTCCATTTGATTTTCATGCTCCTGTTTAAGCTACAATCATAACCGTACTTTTGCATCTCTTTTCTCCATTTATGAGCTGAGTTCTGCTTTTAGGCTTTTACATCGATCTCTGCTTTTCTCAGAATATATTCTGAACCATAAAAGTACATTACTGTTTTTTTCCTCTAGTAGTTTGAAACTTTGAATTCCACATATCCAGGGGTTGCAGTTTTGTGATACATATGGAACATGACAGGATTTTATCCCCAATATTATTGTGCAATACTACAATGAATCATGTATACATATTTAAATATACAAAAGTTAGAATTCTTGAAACAGTATAAGGCTCGTCTCGTTGAAACTAGTGACCCGACCCTAAAATTTCTAGCCTTCATCTGCTTCCACGATGGTGGTCAACTGGCAAGAAGTTCAAAAATGTTCGAAAAGCTTGGTGGACATTGCTGCTAACGGATTCCGGCAGTGTTTTCGCCTTTTCGGAAATGCAGCTTTCGGGAACCTTGAGACAATTAGCTATACGTTGAGGCATCAGTTAGTTCATTACGATCCTGAAGCATTAGTTACTTCTTTTTTAAAAGTAGATTTACCTATTCAAAAAGTCCTATAGCAAGATTGGGATTCACACTTGACAGAAAGAAAGAAAAACGGATCAAAATCTCTAATCCTTGGTTGGAGCATGATCTTATCAGGGTTTCATACTCTCGGAATGTATGTGTTTAATTTTTTGGCATTTGCCTCTTTGATTGTAAAAAAAAAAAAAAAAAAAAGATGAAGAAGAAGAAGAAGAAAAACGGATCCAAATCTCATACCGAAAATAGGTTTATTTGGCTTAACGATCTAGAAGTTATATCCATGTTACACCAAAATGATAAAAATAAAACTTTATCACGATTAATATTGCATTTTTTTTTCAAAATGAATTTCATTGCCGGTATCACAAAATGTAACCAGTTAGATTTTCACCTCAAAGCACATAACATTATAAGAACAAGTACAACATGGATTATTCAAGAACATTCTAGGAACCAAATAAAAGACTTGAACAGAAGATATTAGTATATTACTCGCGCAATTTTGTTGTCCGCATCAGCAAAACAACCAGATGATACCAGATATATATTTTAGAAAACCACTAATGTTACATTTATTACTCATATAAACCTAGGCCACTCCAAATATCACACACTAGATTGATTTCAACTATTAAGTCTGCAATTAAGGTTACAGCCAGCAAATTAACCAGAAATCTCAATCGATTTGATCTCAGGCTTCTTAACTTCCTCCTTAGGATCAGTAATTGTGAGCACTCCGTTCTCCATGGCGGCCTTCACTTGATCCACTTTGACGTCCTGCCTATAAACCAACCATATTTGATGTATAGTAAAAATTATTTCGGGACAAAGATAATACATCCTCTGATCCTCAAGTCTTCATAGATTTTTCTGTCTTGCACCTTAACCCGTTAATGAAACAACAAAGAATTACGTATCATATGTAAAAAATGAAACAAAAACAATGGTGATATAATGATATCATGCGTGCCTAAAAGTTCCAATGTATTTTAAGAAGCTTAAAAAGACTACTAATTAACGTAACCCCAAACTTTTACGGGTCACATTTGACAATGGAGTGATGCCTACTACTCAGGGAGTGAACTAGTGTATCTCGTTACAACATTTGCTGAGCTGAATAAATACATTGGGGTCTTTGCTTGATCCCCACCAATAAAAGGAGTAATTTATCCCGTAATAATGCGTGGCGATACAAGGATTCTAGGCATCGAAAATGGAAAAAATTGGATGACGTGAATGTTTCAAGTTTTTTCCTTCTAAAATAAGTACTAGGAACTGGAAGAAGTCAAACGATTCAACAACAGGGTAAAGCACCAAATTTCTCAGTTCCCATGCGAACCAAACTCAGTAAGTACGTATTGGTAGCTAAAATCATGACAGCAAATGGTTAGAATCATTGGTGTTTCAAATTTCTAATTTTGGTTTCCCCATGAAATAGAAATCCCATGAGAAGTCAACTTGAGCTTCTTCTATAAACTTCTTCTCATTCGGTCCCAATATAAATGATCTAAGATGTTTAATTAACCAAACACTAGAGTATAAAATTAATTGCCAATACAAACACTTTCGCATTACCCTGAATGTGCTTGCAATTTACATTTTCTACTTAATTGATTAATTTTTATTGGCCATGGCATCTTGTGTAGTATAAATCGTCACGGGAAAAATGTTAAATTGATTTAGTCATATACTTCCCCGTTTTTTTTTCAAAAAAAGAAAAAGAAAAAACACAAGTCTATAAAAAAGTTAGTACATTACGTGAATAAATTACTCCCATCACATTATTATGTTGTAACCACGAGGGGAAAAGATAAGTTTCCTCTCTGAAAAAAAATAAAAATAATGATTCACATCGAGTTTTAAGACTTATACTAAAATTAGTAATACAAATTTTGAAACTCAGACTATTTTTTAGGACTCCAACACTTATAATTTTTTTGGTAAATATGTAAATATATTGATGAAAGGTCTCAAATAAAAGCATATTTACAAACCAAAAAACTCACTATTACATACAACACCAAAAACTACCCTGTGAAACATTTACATTGAAACTATTGACTAAACAACTCTGACAAAAAGGCAGCCTCCAAGGCTGTTTTCCTGGATCCAGTATAAGTCCCCAATCTGCACCTCTCTTGTTTAATACTCCTTCTGTCCCAAAATTATTGTCGAGTTTTAGATTTCACTTTTAGTATAATTTAAACTAGAAATGAAAATCCAAACTGGACAATAATTTTGGGACGGAGGGAGTACTTTTCAGCACTTCCATTTCATCTCTGCTTTTTCCAGTGTGTATTAGTACATTTCTTTCTCTCCAAATATTGCAGATCAATGCCGCCATTGTAGCACACAGAACACCTCTTTTCACTTTCCTTCCCCTCCAATATCCCAACACAAACAGTCTCCATTCCTTATGGTTTCTGATTTTTTTTTCATAATGCCTAACCATAGCATTGTTTGTTCCATCAGAGAAGCAGCAAACTTACAATAAAAAAACAAGTGCTCTGCAGTTTCTAAACCATGATGACAGAACATACAACCAGATTCTCCATTCAACAGGTTCAACTTTAACAATCTTTCTCTTGTCAGAAGTCTGTTATGCCAGAATAACCAAACAATGAAACTGTGCCTGGGGACTCCAACTCTTATATTAAACTCTTATTTTTGCAACTTTAGCCCGGCTTATATAGGCGAATCTATGGAGGGCCATCATTTAAATAATTATTTTAAAAAATTTATATGAATCTAATTATAAGAGTAACAATCAATTTTCTTAAACTTTTTTACTGTTCGGGTAATTTTTTTATTAATGATGAAAATATTATTGCAGTAATTAATAACATGTCTCGAATATTACGCCTCAAGTAATATGACCGCAACCAAAAAATCCGTTCCTTGACAAACTTCAATAACTTGTGACACACATTTTAAATCTTTTAGCCAGCTCTCCCATTCATAGAAGTACCTACTATGAGCGACGGAGATTAGTCACTATTGACGCCGGTGGACACCTTGCAATATGAAAAAAAAAAAAGAAAAAGTTATAATCATTTTTCCTAAATTATTATTGTTTTTTTTTTTTACGAGTCTAACTTAAAATTTTCTCCTAATCCTTCGTATCTGCTCGTCTCACCCGCACAGTGAATCATGACAGGTATTTTCTACATTCATCAAATTAATATTCTCTCCCTTCGAGCATTTCCAATTTCATTTCCGCATATCGAACTGTGATAAACTTGTATACACAATAACAAATTTAAGGGGAAATTGGAGTTAATATTCGGCAACCCTATAGTCACGTCAAGAATGAAAATCAAGAACCATAATTTTTCTTTCATTTAATATCGAACTTTATTAAGGGGAGCAAATCTCAACAATTTCAAAGTCGAATTTCAAAAATATCGATCGTGACGTACACAAGGGTTCCTGGTCTGTAGATACCCTATAGCTTAATTTGCTGGTGAATCATTGATTTTTATTATTATTATTTTTTTTTTTGAAAGGGGAAATTTTCAACTTGGAAAATGAATATTGGTGCTTGCTCCCTCCTAATTATACGGTTCAATTACAAATTTGAAACAATGTTAATGTTAGTTTGTGGTTTATAATCATAACCGGAGTTTAGATGTATGACATAACAAACAAGAAGAAGAATTTGACGGCAAAGAGATAATTTAATAGGATGAATGGGAAAGTATTCATGTTTTTTTTTTTTCCGGCAAAACAATTTAGCAACAGTTCTACTAGCGCAAAGATTAAATAAACAAGGTAGTAAACATCATCACCTCAGCTCTTTTCCTCCTAATATAAGTTGAAGATTTGACAAATCCCTGACACTAACTGCATGCTCCAAGAAGTTGCAATATTTGCGCATTATCGTAAGCTTCCAACCTTGATCTCTTTCAGCAAAGCTATTGGCCTAGCATATATATATAGCATCAATAAAACTCAGTAACATGGAATCTCTCTTGTAATTAGCCAACGAATAAGATGATAAATCCCCTGCTCCATCACCCAAACCCACTCAACCCTACCTCTAGAAATCTAATGCATTTCTCCGTCGTGACTTCAGCCCCAACATTCATCTCTTCCTCTTTCCCGTCAATATTTTCTGTGTGCAATAAACTAATCCACCCGAACTAATGGATTCCATGGATACATTGTCTTCTGCATTAGACTCTGCTCCATCGGCCATCCTTGGCCCTGAGGCTAACTTGGGTCGTCATGCATCTGGCACACAGGCTGGTCGAAATCGGAATCAACGATGTTTTCTCGGTGCCTGGTGACTTCAATCTCACCCTGCTGGATCACCTCATTGCCGAACCAGGACTGAACAACATTGGGTGCTGCAACGAGCTCAATGCCGGCTACGCCGCCGACGGTTACGCCAGGCAGCGCGGTGTCGGAGCTTGCGTTGTTACTTTCACCGTTGGTGGGCTTAGCGTCCTTAATGCCATCGCCGGAGCTTACAGTGAGAATCTACCGGTGATTTGTATCGTCGGAGGGCCTAATACTAATGATTACGGCACCAACAGGATTCTTCACCATACTATTGGACTTCCTGATTTTAGTCAGGAATTGAGCTGTTTTCAGACTGTGACTTGTTATCAGGTAATTTATTTATTTATTTTTTTTTTTGAGGTTCTTGGTTTTTTGTTCTACCCGTAATCCGATTGTTTTTTGCTTTCTCTTTATGCGGGTTCTGAATTTTGGGTTTTTCGTTTTTTTTTTAATCAGGCTGTAGTGACACATCTTGATGCGCATGAACAAATTGACAGGGCAATCTCTACTGCTCTGAAAGAGAGCAAGCCGGTTTACATTAGCATCAGTTGCAATTTGCCTGGGATTCCTCATCCAACCTTTGCCAGAGAACCAATTCCGTTTTCCATCTCACCAAGGTGAGTTTGATTCATCATCAAACTTTTGGATTTTTGGTTCGTTCTTTCTCTGAATTTTTGTGTTTGTCTTGAAACGATTGTTGAATTGAATTGGACTTTTAATTGATATAACAGATCGAGCAATAAAGCCGGACTTAAGCCTGCGGCAGAAGCCGCAGCAGCCTTCCTCGGCAAGGCTGTGAAGCCCGTCATCATTGGAGGCTCCAAACTCAGAGTTTCAGAGGCGCAAGATGCTTTTGTTGAATTAACTGATGCTCGTGGTTTTCCCATTGCTATAATGCCATCAGCAAAGGGTCTCGTGCCAGAGCAGCATCCTCACTTCATTGGCACTTATTGGGGTGCAATCAGCACATCTTTTTGCGCCGAAATCGTGGAATCTGCTGACGCTTATATCTTCGTTGGGCCAATCTTTAATGATTTTAGTTCTGTGGGGTATTCACTTTTAATAAAAAAGGAGAAGTCCATCATTGTGCAACCTGATCGAGTTGTCATCGGAGACGGCCCTGCTTTTGGGTGTGTTCTGATGAAGGATTTCCTTCAGGAATTGGCCAAGATTGTTAAGAAGAACAACACTGCTCATGAAAACTACAGGAGGATCTTTGTTCCACAGGGGTTTCCTCGGAAAAGTGAGCCGAACGCCCCCATAAGCGTGAACATACTTTTCCAGCACATTCAGAAAATGCTTTCCAGTGAGACTGCTGTGATTGCTGAGACAGGGGATTCTTGGTTTAATTGTCAGAAGCTGAAATTGCCAGAAGGCTGTGGGTAAGTATCGACTTGTTTTTGTGTCGTTTTACCTTTTTTTTTTTTATTAATTAATCTGTAAAGATCAGTACCAATAGTTGGTAACTTGGTATTGTAGGTATGAGTTCCAAATGCAATATGGCTCCATTGGATGGTCTGTTGGCGCCACATTAGGGTATGCTCAGTCGGCGCCTGAAAAGCACGTTATTGCTTGCATTGGTGATGGTAGCTTCCAGGTGGAGATATCTTGGAACATTAATCTCATAACCGAAAGCATTGACCTAAATTTGCACTTTGGTATGATTATTATTTGGTTAAATGCTGTTTTGTACTTTCATAGGTGACTGCTCAAGATGTGACAGCAATGATTAGGAACAACCAGAAGAGCATTATTTTCTTGATCAACAATGGAGGATACACCATAGAGGTTGAAATCGATGATGGCCCATATAATGTGATCAAGAACTGGAACTACACTGCTGTGGTGGATGCATTCTGGAACGGCGCAGGCAATTGCTGGACTACAAAGGTACTTAAGATTCATGAATATCATCTCTGAGCTCAAAGCATTCTTTGAAGTTTAATTCTGCAATAAAAGTGAATTGTTTCGCGAATTCGATTCTGACAATACAATTACACGAATATGGTTTTTGTAGGTACGCACTGAAGAGGAGCTAATTGAGGCTATTGAAATTGCAAGTGGCGAGAAGAAAGATTCCCTCTGCTTCATTGAAGTGTTCACTCACAAAGATGATACAAGCAAAGAGTTGCTGGAGTGGGGATCCAGAGTTGCTGCTGCTGACTGCCGCCCACCAAATCCTCACTGAAAAGCATTTCAGTAGAATAGAGTTCAAGAGATTTTGAGAGTATTTTTTGGTGTCTGATTTTCAACATATTTCCTATACTAAAATAGTATCTTAGTGAGAAGATGGTCTTGTATCCAATTCTTAGATGCTAACATTGGTACTTTAACTTGATTTTGCATGCCGGTTTTGTTTTCTGTCTTAGTTTGATTGTTGATCATCACTGAAGTAAGTCAGGAGGATATTATCTGGCTATGCTCATTCGGAACACTTATTCTTTCTATGTTCTGTTAAACTGGTCAATAAATAACTTGAAGCAAATGTCAATCAGAAAAATGCATTTGCTTCCTCCGTTCCTTATCCCTCTGAGATACTGCCCCTGCCTTTCTAACCATTTCCGATGACTTGATTTAGCTCTGTAGTTGATGATTCTGATTAGGGGTTCATCAAATGTGCTTGGATTTGCAACCCAAGTGCCCCTACGTTATCATGTAAAAGTTGTCATCATCAATAATAAAAAATGTCCACTTTGAACGCATATGTGATCAACATCAAGAGGTTTTTTAGGTATGAGCATTAAATGGGGGAATTGGGATTTTGGAGTTCAATCAATAGCTATTGTAGTATCTGGTTCCTATTGCAAAGATCTGGAAGTTGTCTTTCTAGTTGAGAATTCATGAGAAAACATAAACCATTGTCTTTGACTAAAAATTGGGACATGTAAAGCTTCCCTTGGCGTCAAGGCAAATGAAATTGTGGATCAATATCAACTTCAATGAAGGCCCATCCAGAAGATACTGTCTAGAAAAGATCGACTCTATTTCAACTAATAAGACACTTTCACTCTGCTTACACTAGTGTAAAAGCTCTATTTAGGTGAAAGTAATTTGTTAAAATCCTCGACCTCATCATGAACACTTGAATTTTTTCTTCTGTTCAACAACCAAAGACAATGAATTTCAAAGTCATTCTAAACTTGGTCGGTTTAATTACAACTATACACCATCTCATTGATGTCAAGCTCTCTAAAGCAACGATAATTACTCCTAGTCAGCTCTCTTATTTTAACAAAGTAAAATAGGCCATTGGTGCATTAGGGTGTAGGTTGGTCTCTTTTTTGCGTTATTCTTCCTTTTCTTTTCTAACCTTTTTTTTTTTTCACTTTGCTAGTTTCGCAAGCAAAGAGTTACAAGTGTGTTCCCTATACTGAAAGCTTCAATCTGTAGAAATGTAACAAAATTTTTACACATGGACGTTTTAGTGTAAGAAAAAAAGAAAATGATTCACCTAATGACTTGGACATTTCAATACCAACCCCGGCGCTCTATACACATGGTCATGGATGCACAAAAATAGAAAAATACACAGTTGCCTTTAAAATAATTTCAGTGGGTTCTTGTCTTCTTGATGTCAATATTCATTTTTTTTAGGGCATTTAATATGGGGATCAAATGGTGGTCTCCGGTCCTCTTTACTAGCTAAATGATCCAAAATATCTTAGTTTCAATTGATTGTCACTCAAAAAATATCAATCCATGAACACTCTCAACCATTGTGTATTAATAGTACCCTGACCATATAATTTTACTATGCGGTTTAGACCAAAATAAATAAACTGATATCATTTCACTAATAAAATATGATTATTACATGATGAATGAGACAAAGATCGGTATATTGAAACCCTGAAGTGTTGAGTATCCTTAAGAGAGTGAAGCAAAACAAGTCAATATAAGAATGTAAGAGGAGCAAAGGAGTGAACACACTTAAAAGGAGTAACATCAAATGAAAATTAAAGGTCACCTAACTCGACAGCTTAAAGAAAGCTAGATATCAACCCATCACAAAATCTTTTCTTGTAATATTTAAGCAAACCCTACAAAAATCATTGTCTACAAGTCTCCTGCTTTTGCAAGCAAATTCTATAATATAGACACAAGTGAACAAAATTGGAGAATTCTGCTGCCAATGGCCCATACATCCTACTCTCAAGTCTCCAGAAAACAGAAATCCTCTATGGGACTTTAGCATGCAATACAGAGGTATTAAGTCCTAGTATCTAACAAGTTCAGTCCTCGGAGCGAAAAGAAGGCCAATTGCTGGTCACATAAACTGTAAAGGGATGCCGATAGACAGCAGCATCCTGAAGAAAGAACTTGATGCATCTCAGGCAAGGATCATACTCTTGGAGAAAGAAAACTTGGAGCTGAGACATGAAGTATCCCGTTTGAGGGCTCAAGTGAATGCACTAAAAGCGCATGATATTGAGAGGAAATCCATGTTATGGAAGAAATTTCAGAGTTCCATTGACAACAACAAGATTGCAGACAGATCTCCACAGAAACAGAGTTCTAATATGCAAACTTTAGAACCTAATTCTGCATCAGAGAAGAAGTTAGAGCAAAAGGAAGATCTCGCGAAATCAGCATCCAGGAGAGAAATTCCAGCAAAAGTAGCTAGACCAGTAACAAATGGAGATTGTACTTTGCAGGGCAAACTAGCAACTCCCCAGTCATCAGCAGCACCACCACCACCGCCTTTACCATCAAAACTACTTGCAAGATCAAAATCTCTGCGGCGGGCGCCGGAGGTGCTGGAATTCTACCGTCAATTAATGAAGAAAGATGCCCAGAAGAATACCAGAACTAGCGCAGCAACACCCGGTCAGCCAATCCTAAATCCCAGAAACATGATTGGAGAAATTGAAAATCGCTCCAGTTACCTCTTAAACGTAAGTGACAAGCACTCATTGACTCAAATCATTATGTTTTTCCAATCATGGCATGTAATAAAAAGTGTCTCAGATTTCAACTGTTATCATTATGCAGATAAAATCAGATGTGGAGAATCAAAGGGAACTTGTAAATTTCTTAACAAAGCAAGTACAGGCTGCAGCTTTCGCAGACATTTCTGAAGTGGAGACATTCGTGAAATGGTTAGATGGGCAACTGTCCTGTTTGGTTGATGAAAGGGCTGTGCTAAAACATTTTCCACAGTGGCCAGAAAGGAAAGCAGATGCATTAAGGGAAGCTGCTTGCAGCTACAGGGAGATCAAGAACTTGGAATCAGAAGTCATGTCTTACAAGGACAACCCTAAACAGCAATTGGCTGAGTCCCTGAGAAAAATGCAAGCATTGCAAGACAGGCAAGCAAGTATTGAAGTCGTGTTTTTAGTTGTTCTGATATAGTGTTACCCTGATTAAAACGCTAAAACAGAACTTTAATTTTGTGAGTGAAAGGGTATATTGTTACCTTTCAAACTCTAAATTGACTATTTTGGAACTGATAATGTAGATTGGAGAAGAACATTAGCAACATTGAAAGAGTTAGGGAAGGTTCAAGCAAGAAATACAGGGAACTTCATATTCCTTGGTCATGGCTGCTGGAAACAGGAATGATTGGACAGGTAGGTGCCACAGCAGTGTGGTTTCGTGAGTACTTTGATAAACAATCATACTCCTTTACTGTAGATAATGATATTTTACCAGATGATTTGAAATTGGAGCAAGTGTTTTAAGGTTGTTGCACATAGATGGTGTGTAGACACAAGCCAACTCTAGCCAGCAATTTGACAGTTAACAACTCTTAAGACATGGTTTAAACTAACAAGTTAGTGAGTGAGCGAAAAATTTTTCATATCTCAATTATGTTGAGACGGTACGAATATAGCAAAGACCTGTTTCATCTCTCCTGTTTGGCATATTATCGTTTCGGATTTGGGTCTTGAAGTCCGATATTAAGATTCATTTTACGTTCTTGCAGCTCAAATTCGCATCAGTTAAGCTGGCGAAACATTATATGCAGAGAATAACCAAGGAAATGGAATCCAGTGACCCCTCACAAGGTGAGGATCTTCTTATTCAAGGTGTACGTTTTGCGCATCGGGTTCATCAGGTTGGTGACTTAAGTTTGTCCCCGATGTTTCTATATTTAAAACTTATGGAACTGAATAAGGATTCTTTTGCTCATCAGTTGAGTTCTATGCTAACTGGTTAATACTTCAGTTTGCAGGCGGTTTCGACACAGACACACTGTTGGTTTTTGAAGAACTAAGAAGAATAGGCCAGGCTATTGAAAACAACAGTAACCTATTGTCATAAAAGTAGAAATTTAGCGAGTTTGTAATCCAAGTACTTGAACCTTTTGAATTTGTTATCTAGTAAGCAAGTACATATCACTAAAGGTTGCAAATATTTTTTGCACAAAACCCTCATTCTTTACTTTCCAAACAGAGGTTTCAAGATGATCAAAACAGAACAGACCACAAAAAACATAAGTTCATTACCAGGATATATTATACCCTAATTCAGCAGGATTCATTACTATCTACTTTAAACTTCGTGTTATACCTTGAAACAATTGCAACTTTGCAAGAGTCACTGGCACGAATACAATTCATAATAGCCCTCCTGATTTGAGGTTATAGATTTAGCATTCAAGATGCAAAAACTCACACAAGCTCGAGGAGAAAATCATAACTGATAATTTTATATGGTAAAGCAACTCAAAGAAAACTAACTAACAAACCCAGGGCATACATTACATCATTAGCAGTAATCAATATCAGGAAACCAGAATCCCCGGCCATTTACCCTATTTTACCCAGTTTCAAGGATTCCTTAATAGACCCTCAAGAGTAAACAAAAGATCTAATGGCAGATTAAACAATGCGCTCCATACATCCATCTAAACTACTAGACAGGGATACACTTCACACTAAACAAGCCTGCCAATCTAAAACCCATTTTGGCACAAGTTCACGTTTACTCGCATAAGGAAATTCAGCACAAGCATACAAGCATTCTATAATTCAAGTTTGCTCGGACCACATCCAATGAGAATCTTCCCAAAGAAAGAAATTCCCATCGAATTACTTGCATTCCATGAAAATCATAAGAGAACACATACAAAACGAACAGAAACATATTAAAATACTTCTTCGATTGAAAACCCAGTAGCAAAAACTACATCAAAAGTGCCTTAAAACAGTAAACGATTAACTAAAGGCTCCAAAGGCCGTCTACATATTAAGTCTTAAAAAATTCATCATGATAAGCAACAAAATTTAAAGAAAACCCGCGAAGATTAGGACGATTTCTAAGTAGCACCGGGGAGTGGTTACTTCGATCTCTGCCTCATCTTTCGGCGCTTCCTCTTCAACCTCCTCATACGCTTCTTCTTCCACTGCAAAAAAGAAAACCCAACAAACGACGAACAATCAATTCACAGTTCAAAGCAAAATCACAGGAAATGTAACGAAAAAAACACAACAATGATTAAGCTTCATGGTTTTCGTCGATTATACTGACCTTAGCTCTCATGGTTGCAAAGCGATTGAAGGCCTCCGAAGTTCTTCCTGTTTGTACTCCTTTAGCTTCGGCTGCGGCGGAGAAGGGAAATGCCTAATGGGGAGAGTGGGGAACTACGGGATGATCAGAGGATGGTTTATAAAGGAAACCCTAGAAGTCGTAAAATGCTTTTCAACTGGGCAGCTTATTTTAAAACGGGTCCAGTAGGAATTTGGGCCCTGCTGCAAGTGAAACTTCGATGGTCCATATTTGAAATAGGCCCAAACTAAAGCAACATTTCTATGTTCCTGACTTCCTGGTGAAGAATTATCAATAATCCAGTGATTTTAGCTGGCAATTTTGCATTATCTCATTTTCGTCACTATATATGTTTTTTGTTTGAGATAAGTTTGTGAATTGTATTAACCACTTAAAATTTTTGCTCTCTTGCTAGTTCCATATTTTTCAATTCTTACTTTTTGTGTAAATGTAAATAAAATGCTATTTTGGGTCCAACTTTTAAAATGTATGATCATCCTTTCTTTTTTTTTTTTTGGCTGGTCTCACACAAATATTGACTACTGTTTCATTTGAAGTTCTTCATACAGTCACATCACCGCTTAATAAAATGCCTTTAGAAAATTTTGAATTTTCATTATTTAAAAACAAAACGTTCAAGACGTTTTTACCAATACTTTTATTATCTGTGAGAACAATAATTTTAATCACAGTAGAAGTGGTGAATAATCTTTCATACGTCTATGTTTGAAGATTGAAAAATGCATATAGTGATTTTCTTTTTTTTTTTTTATTTGGAAACATATAGTGGTGAATAATATTTAGCCTAGCTAGATTTGCAAGATATCCAAAAGAAATACTGTACTAAAGCTGGTATGAATATTCTATCCATTTTCTTTTTAAAAAAGAAAAGTTACCTGTTCTGTGTCGAGCAAGCATCCACGCAAGCAAACCCACTCACCATAGGTAGGCCCATTTACCATATCCAGATTTCTCCCACGCGGACCACAGCCCCTCCAGCCAACTGCACCAAAAAAAAGAGTTAACAAAACCAAAGCCTCCGAAAGTCCGAATCGTATCATCAATTCTTATCGAAAACATCAAAAAACACGCACTCACGCACCGTCTTTCCTCCATTTCACCAGTTTTCACACACAGTCACGCACTCCTTCCTCCCCCACAGTGTGCCTTCCTCACCAAACCAAACTTCAATCGCGTTTTTTTCCCTCTTCACCGCGCCTCGCCGGAATTTGAAATTTCTATTGTAATTTTTGTTCGGAAAGCAATGCCACTGCGTTATTTCGCCTGAAAATTTTTTTTTACAAGCCGTAGATAGTAACGTCAATGGGCACGGGTTCATCGAGAAATCCTGACAGCAGTTCTCATGGAAGCGGAGATGACAGAGAAGACCAAGGAGGCGGGGGACAGCTCTACGTCTCCCTTAAAATGGAAAACAATCACTCTATGATCAAAAGCGAGCTCATTCCTCATGTTTACGGCTCCGTTCCTCTCGTTGGCTCTTGGGACCCTTCCCGAGCTGTGAGTCCTTCCTGAATACTTCCTGATGGACATTCATAATACATATTTTTAATTTGTATTTGCTCTGAGTATTTATTCGTTTCGATTTTTTCTTTTTGGCTTTATTAGCTTGCAATGGAACGAGAATCCACCTCAATGTGGGAGTTAAGTTTCGTGGTGCCTCCTAATCACGGTAACCTTCTAAATTGGTTGCTTCGAATTGATCCGATTTATTCTGATTGAGCTGCTGCGTGTTTTGACTTGTTCGGTTTGTAACTGTAGAGACGTTGGATTTTAAGTTCTTGTTGAAGCCAAAGGACAACATCGGTTCGGCTTGTATTGTGGAGGAAGGTTCCCATAGGATGTTAACTGGGGGAGCATTGCAAGGGGATGGGAGGTCAGCTTTGTTTAGATTGAGTTCCGATGAGGTTCTCGAGTACAGAGTGTTTATAAAGGCCGACCGAGTTTCGCCATTTGATCTTGCTGCTAGTTGGAGAGCCTTTCAGGAAAATCTGCAGCCTTCTACTGTTCGTGGAATACCTGACGTTAGTATCAATTCTGCAACAGAATCAGGTGCCGAGGTAAGATTAAGGTTGTGCTGATCATTTTTATTAAAAGAAAAAAAATCGTGTTATTCTTCCCGGTGTTGAATGATTTTAGTAGGTTATGAAATGTTTTTCAGCTGCTTAATCTTGAATGTATTTTTCTATTTGTTATCCTGCAATCACTGTATTGTGATTTCGGGAATTCAGTTTTCATTTCTGATTTCTGATTTGATGTCACTTTGCTGTTTCTGATTTGTGTTCCAGCGAACATTTATGTGCTCTCCGTGTGCGTTTCTTTCTGAAATTAAAAGTCATGTAATATTTGTCATTTAACTCTTGTTGGATGTGGCGCCGAAGTTAGTGACGAGAGAATCAGGTTCCTGAGATTGATTCTCAACCTCCTTAGAAGTAAGTAAAGAGATTCTTGATTGATAGAAGTAAGTGCTGTGTTAAGTGATGATCTCAGTTCCATCCAAGATACATTTACGTAGAGTTTACCTCTCTCTACACTGAAGGAAGATACACTGTTGAATTAATGGGAGAATAAAAAAGATGATGTGTTCTGTCATTTGATTAAAATTTTAGTTAGTTGGGGCATAATATAATCAAGCTGAATGAGATGAAGATATAAAGCTAGTTTGATTTCTCTTTTTGGTCTTGGTTGGTTTTCTTCGGATTATCTAACATCAATTTAACAACTTCTGAGGTAAACATAGAGAAAATCCCTTTTAGTCTTTCCCTTTTCTTGTTATCTACACTGTTGTAGTGTAAGACTTGATGATAAATTCTTTGTGTCTCCTCCAGCCTCTCTTGATAAATTGTTTAATATTTGAATATTTTATGTTGATTTGTAATTGATGCATTAGAAATATACGAAAGTAATGGTTGATTATTCGTGTCTCAGAATGGGTCCTCGGCAAGTTTGGAACTAGATCTTGAACACTATGTAGTCCCGGCTCCTACAGCAAATTCTGGACAGGTTTATGCCGCTAATATGACAGAGACTCCTAGATCAATGAGTTTTGCTGGTGTGTTCTCTAAAGCCTCTGGTGGAGCATCACATTCTGCAAATGCTGGTGTTGATCGGCCCACGACAATCAAGGTTTCTGTTTCTTTTCCCATGTGTGAATTTGTGATTCAAAATAATTTGTGGCTTATGGTAAACTGAACCTTGTGACATCACTGTTCGTTCTTTTGTGCTCCTGTTATCTCTGAAAAACTAAAGTTGTTTGTCTACATATATTAGATGCTCCGCTAGAATTATTTCTTTGATCAGCCTGAGGATTCGATTTGTCAGCTTAAGTTACTTTGCTAAAAAGAGAAGAAATTATTGCTGGTCTTGATGTAATACACTTTAGTTTTAATTATTTTGAGGTATTCGTATCCCATCTAATGCAGACAGTTTAACAAAACAATTCTGAGCAGTGCATCAAAACAATTCTGTTGTCAATCGACTGTGTTCTTAGAACTCCGAGGTTCCCTAATGTTTGTTTGGATAGAACCCTTTGTCGTTTTGGATAACCCATCTATAACCATTTTGTTAGTTGACAATTTGCTTCTTAAAGCAATTCATGAACAATATTATGTTTTGTCATTAGGAGATGGAGATCATTGTACCTGACCCAAGTAAACCACCTTTGAATTCTGGCGCTGTTGAGTCAAAGTCAACGGGAACATTTTCATCATTTCAAAAGCCAGATGGTCAAAGAGGACTATTTGTTGATAGGGGTGTGGGATCTCCGAGGCTAGTCAAATCACCCAGTGCATCTACCTTTACTACTGATCTTAAACTTGATTCAGAAAGAAAGGTTTGTGTACAGAGTCCTCTTTTTCTCCAAGCAGAAATAACTTTTTCTGTAACCCTCTCCTGTTCCTCGATGGCATTCTGTGTTTAATTTTTTGGAAGTTCACTCTTGCTCCTGCAGAATCCAATGCCAGCAGCTGCAGGAGCTGTTGCTGCCGCAGCTGTGGCAGATCAGATGCTTGGTCCAAAGGAGGATAGACATCTAGCTATTGTCCTGGTACTTCCTGACACACTTCACCTGGAAGAGTATCCTAGCAGTGTCCCTTTTAAGGACCAGAGCTTAATGAACAGTTCTTTTTGGACATGCTATTTTGAATGTCATGATGCGGTGTTGACTTTAAGAAACGTGATTATGTGTTTAATGCTAAATTACTTTCATCTGTCTGAAGGTTGGCTTGCCTGCTCGGGGAAAAACTTTTACAGCAGCTAAGCTCACCAGGTATCTTCGTTGGTTGGGTCATGACACCAAACACTTCAATGTGGGGAAGGTGATGTTGCTTTTTACTCTCTTGTTTCTCCTCATTTGCAGATTTATGGAAAGAAATAACATGGTATTAATTGTCACAGTATCGAAGACTGAAGCTGGGAACTAATCAGGTATGGCAAATATCTGAAAAATATTGTTCTGCTCTGGGCATATCTTTTGGAAGATATTAAATTTCTACATGATTTTACCATGCTTGAAAAGGATTTGTTAGTACCTTTAAATAGGCTTATCTAGAACTGCCAGAGTAATGAAAATTTCCGAAACCAGGAAGATTGATTTTGTTTGGATCTCTTCATAACCATGTTCCTCTTTCCTCTGGTCCACTCAGTCCATTTTCTTCCTTTTGATTAGTGGTCATTCTATATCTTTTTGTTTTATGTTGAAATTGAATAATGCAGTCTGCTGACTTCTTTCGAGGAGATAATAATGAAGGCATTGAGGCGCGAAATGAGGTGAAAATTTATTTTTGGCAATTGAGCTTTGAGCTTTTATGAAGTGTTTTTCTCTATGTGTTTACTTGGATGCATTTTGTTTCCCTTTCTATGTGGACAATGGAGACTTGGTCATAAAAATGAACTCTTCCGTAAATTCATATTGGATCTGCTGCAATCTTTATTCCCCATGGACATCAGTAGCATATAAGTGGATCTTGATTTTGCTTAAACTTTGTCTGATAATTTTATTCATCGGGCCGTGAAATCCTTTTGCATTGTCATAGTCCCGGCAACATCTGGGTAGTCAAGCTTGAACTACAACTGATCTACTCCAAAAGTTGGATCTCCTGGGAGTCTGTTCATTGTTCTAGAGTGTCATGTTCTAATTCATACACTGTATTAACATTTTCTCTGCTCATAGTTTTAACACGTGACATGCAACTAGGTAGCAGCTTTAGCGATGGAGGATATGATAGCTTGGATGCAAGAGGGTGGTCAAGTAAGTTGTTTCCTTTGGCAATATGATTTTTTTTTTTTTTTTTGGTTCTGTAGTTATGTATTGATGATTCTGAGATACCATAGGTAGGGATTTTTGATGCCACAAACAGTACCAGGAAAAGAAGGAATATGCTAATGAAACTGGCTGAAGGAAAATGCAAGGTTTGACTCCATCTAAGGCTTGTTTATTGTATTGCTCATTCTGAACTCCCTCTGTTGACATGTAATGTGAATATAGTTTTGGTGTTGGCGATTACTGCAGTTTTTAGGAATTTATTAAATTTCCCTGCATAATGATGCTTTTTTGCTTACTTTTTCTTGATGATAGATGCTCCTGTCTCAATATTGATACTTTTGCCTCTGCACAATGTTTTGTTAATGCTTTTTTGAGCTGATCAAACTGCAGTTGATGCTGCATGCATACAGCTAATCTCATGTTTAAGTTCACTTTTGGCCCTCTCTTCGAACTGCAGATCATTTTTCTGGAGACAATATGTAATGATCGGAAAATAATCGAAAGAAATATACGACTCAAAATTCAACAGAGTCCAGACTATGCAGAAGAGTATGATACTCACTCTTTCTTTGACATTAGTTTGCTAGCAGTTCCATTATGTAACAATTAGAGTTATTTTGCAGACCAGATTTTGAAGCTGGATATCAAGACTTCAAAAGTCGACTTGACAACTATGAAAAAGTAGTTTTGTGAAACATTCTTATAGCAGTTACTGTCACTAAGTTTACATAGTGAATGATGAGAATGGTATTGAGGTACTCATCTTCTTTTATGACAGGTTTATGAACCTGTGGAGGAGGGGTCTTACATTAAAATGATTGATATGGTCAGTGGTCATGGAGGACAGATACAAGTATGCAGTATTACCTCTCTCGGCTATGTTGTTTTTTATTTCTTTCCTCTGGAAAATACACTAGTATGCCCTTCCATGATGCATATGTGTTTATGGACAGATAAGGACATATTCACGTGAATTTAATAACTAAAAATGGCAAGAAAAATGGATAAAGCGATCTTGTTATGTGTCTTCTATGCAAGTTTCTGAAATGGTAAAAGCAAGCAACTATCCATTCAGGAATTGAAGATGTACTGCATGTGCCTTTTTAAGTAGCTTGATAGAAGACAAACTAAATTATGTCTGCTGAACATAGAAGAAAAAACTTCTGGATAATAGTGTCATTTGATAAACTTCTGATGGTTGAAAAGCTACTTTCTTATCAGTTTGGTAAACTCTGATGTCATTTGATATGCTTAGTCTTGTTATATCGTCTTTAATTTTGAGCTTTAATACATAATTCTCACGCCATTTCAAAATGTAAACCGTTTTAGGTTTGGAGAAATATTTCAAAATATAAGTCATTTTAGGAATTCAAGGCAAATTAATTGCTAACTTTCCAATTTTACCCTCAGTGAATGATGTCAACTATTTTTTTATTTAGTCTTGTTTATGATTTTCAATACATTTAATGATGGGTGTAAAAGATATTTGACACAAATTAATTGTTGAATGATTGTCTCCTTAGTTTACGTGTAAAGTCCAAAGTGACTTGTATTTTGAAATGGAGGGAGTACTTACTAATGGTTCAAGGATCTGATCAATATGATGTTATCTGGATATATAGTCCGATGTTTACAATTGGTATGAAATTTGTGTAATAAAGTTCTTAAAGATGTTGCAACTCCGCAGGTGAACAATATCAGTGGCTATCTCCCTGGGCGAATTGTATTTTTCTTGGTATGCTTACCTGCATGCTGTTTAATCTCACTTGTCTCATTACGTTTTGCCGGTGCATCTTAGTAACCTCGTGAAAATAACTTTACCCTCATAATTATCATGCAGGTGAATACTCACCTTACACCTCGTCCAATCTTGCTGACTAGGCATGGGGAAAGTCGAGACAATGTCAGGGGCAGAATTGGGGGTGATTCTGTGATAAGGTTTTTCTTTTTACATTGGTTCTTTCAAGACCACCTTAATTATGAAGTAGTTTTTTTGCCATTCAGCAAAATATTGCTGCGGTGAAAATTCTTTTGCTCTCTTTTTTGGCCAGTTCTTTCTTTTTCTGTGGCTTGCTGTGGCCTACTAGTTTCAGCTATCAAGTCAAAGATAGACGTATAGGATGAGAATATGAAAACTAAAAAATTATTTAACAGGATTGCCATTTCTGTCATAATTTACTAGCACTTGCCATGTTTCTTGCAATGTCATTCCCTCAATGCTTCAGACACACCATTATAGTTATGAGCTCTATGTGATAAAGAAAATCTCCCAAAGAGTGGCTCCAGCCAAGGTTTCTGAGCTATCTTTTGATTAAGTTCACTCTTTGTTCAGCATGAGTATAGAGATGACATGTCTGGAAAGCATTTGTTCTAGTCTATAACTTTCCTTTTCTTTTAGGGTCGTCTGTCTTACTGAAGATGCATGTGTCTTGTCTGTGGAATTTATTTTAACTATTGACTGGACTCGACTGACTTTTTAAACTTCTTACTTTTAATTACTTGACATCGAGAATTTATTTTTTCCTACTTGATGACAGTGATTCAGGAGAGATATATGCAAAGAAACTGGCCAATTTTGTGGAAAAGCGTCTGAAGAATGAAAGGGCTGCTTCAGTAAGTGGTTTCATTTCTGTGTATATGTTGCTCCTGATGCAATGAGAGTGTTTATTGTATCATGATGCTCATGCTCTTTACAATTTTTAGTCTGAATTAAAATTTGTTCTTAAGATCTAAAAATGGTCGATCATTTTTCTTCTTTTAAAATCTTCTTTGCATTAGATATGGACCAGCACGTTGCAGAGAACAATTCTGACTGCTAATCCAATTGTTGGATTCCCCAAGGTGAGAAACTGAGAATGGGTAGAAATAAACTGTCGTTGCCTTTAGGAAGAGCTTCCTTAGATTAGATATTAGATCCTTCACCCTGAAGTTCTCTTTGATTTTTTTTTTTTTTCAATTTATACTTGCCTTTGTTTTGTAGATCCAATGGCGTGCACTTGATGAGATAAATGCTGGTGTATGTGATGGAATGACTTATGAAGAGATTAAGAAAAACATGCCTGAGGAATATCAGTATGTCATTCTGGGTTGCTCTTTTTCCTTTATTTGAATGATGTAGACCATGCCTCTGATGTCTTTTTGATGCAGCATGTCTTATACAGTGTTTTCTTTTTTAAAGTCCAGAGTTGTTTTTCTGTTCTGTGTTACTGTGATACAAACAAAGTAACATCTTATTTTTTTAGCTTATGACGCTTTGCCAATGTCAGGTCTCGGAAAAAGGACAAACTGAGGTACCGGTATCCTCGTGGCGAGTCTTACCTGGATGTCATTCAAAGGTATCTGATGACATTTTAATGAGTTTTATCTTAAATTAGGACCTTGAGGTTTGAGATGTGCCAAATATAGTTGACTGTTAACTCAATGCAGGCTAGAGCCAGTAATTATTGAGCTTGAACGACAACGAGCACCTGTTGTGGTGGTTTCTCACCAGGTTATAATCATAAGGGCATGATGTTTTATCCGTGTTCCATACATCTGGACACCACTGACTGTCTTTGTTTTTGATGTTTTTATTGCAGGCGGTATTGAGAGCTTTATATGCTTATTTCGCTGATAGGCCATTGCACGAAATTCCACACATTGAGGTGATTAGGAAATTTTAAATTGCAGTTTATTTGGGCTTCGAAAATCAGATTTGAATTGCGTAGCCCGTTTATGTTGGTGTTTGTCGTTGCCCCACCTTTTAGTTCTAGAACTTTGTTGGTTTTTAGTCGCTAAGCTTGAATTTGAACTTAAAACTTCATTTCTTACTCCAGATGCCACTTCACACAATAATAGAGATACAGATGGGAGTCACTGGTGTGCAGGAGAAAAGATACAAGTTAATGTGATTCCAGTTGTTTTGACCGGCTTACTTACTTACTATTCTTGATATCTGGTTCAAGGATCTATTCATGGAACTTATTCATTGAGTTGTAGCACTGACCTCAATTCGCTAATTTGATAATTAGAAATTTGTCCTTACATCTGTCATTCTTATTATAAATAAAAGGTAGAAACTTCAAAAGCATTATCTTTCCTGTCGATGATGTGATGCGTACGGCGCCTATTGTAAGTAAAAAAAATTCAGCCTCATGTGCAAGTTGTTCTTCTTCTTTTGGCATTGGGGTTTCTCCCTGTGACGTTTCAATTTTATTGAATGTCCTCGAAGGACCGAAGGTTTCTCTTGGCTAAGTGCGCCTCTAAAGGAGCTTGTAAGAATAAACGAACCGTAAACATTTACATTTTACACCGTGAGGTGATTGTAAACCATTGAGCCTAAGTCGAGGAATTGGAGACATTGGGTTGAAGCTACACTATCATCTCCCCTAGGCTCTCTAGTCTGGAGGGAGTAAAGAGTGTGGTATGTTTTGGTCAAAATCCCAAAATGTGGTTACGTAATATTTTGCCACCTGTTCAATACTATGGTATTTGCCTTTGAATCAGGTCAAGAAGAGGTTGAAAGAGTCGAGCATTCAGGCCACACAACAAAGTTCAACCTTTTTAGCCTGAAAGGCGCACCAAAAGATGGGAACATAGCTACCACAGATTCTGGGACTCTGGAGTGTAACGCAGGTATCGTTCACTGGGGTTTTGGACTAATTAAAGGAGGAGTCAAAGTCTAACGTAGTTTGTCCTATTTACATAGGACAAATATGGTAACTTGTGATGTGACTAAAACATGATGATAATATTTATTAAGAGTTTTGACGCTGCCATTTTAGAAAGTATTTATTAAGAATTTTGTCTTTCAAAAAATCTATCTGGTTTGAAAAGTAGATTGATGGAATACATCAAAAAATTACTCGTGATAACTTCTGGCTGTTTTCCGGATACCCGAAATGATATATGCCCAATACAAGATCTTCATCAAACAAAAAAATGTGAACTTAAAAGTCATAATGCATTGTTTATAGGAGCATTGGCATTGCCTGGTACTTTTTTTAAAAAAAAATACTACCAACAGTTTTGCATCCCAAAATTCCACATTGGTGAAGTAGTAATACACTAATTACTTACTGTTGCCGTCGCCTTCACGAGACCTTGAATTCAGGCACTTTTGCTCTCTTTTTCATGCAATACTTCCCTCTGGAACCCTCCTTGTACTAGGGTGTTCTCTCTCTCTCGCCCTCTCTCTTTTGAATTTTGACCTCGTGATCTCGGTGGAAAATATAAAGAAAAAAAAAAAAGACACTAGAAAACAAGATTGGTAATTCGTTTTCAACGACTTTGTATTTACGTAATCTGAAATCTCCTCACCCCCATGACTTAAAACAAGATCCTATGCCCGTTTCCTGGTTTCTTCAAAAGAGTCCTTCCCCTCGTCATATCTTCCGTGAATCTCTCAAAACTCTTTTGTTCCATTATTTAGGCACTTTGCCACACTATTCACTTCTGTATAGTGTTTACAATCTCCCATTCCAAATCTACTTTTGGTACTAATAATAACCCATCATGTTCAATTCACCAGTATCTGATCCATCAACCAGAGCATCCAATAATAGTAATAACCCATTCGACAAACTAATTCATAGCTTTCTTTCTCACGACAGTAACATCATGCTGGCAGCAATCATCTCTTTACTGGTGGTGATCCTCTTTGTGTTACTCCTCCATATATATGCGAAATGGTTCCTATTTCGAGCCCGTCAAAGAAGCAGAACAAGGTCTGTTCTGGTTCCGCAACTAGTAAGAGCTAGCAGTAGATTCCATCACTTCCATTCCTTCGCCATCGACTCGACTTTCTCCATTTCCCCTACTAAAGGTCTTGAACCATCAGCCATTTCTTCAATACCCATGTTTGTGTACAATAGTAAGAGTAGTACTAAGGATGAGGTGACTGATTGTGCTATATGCTTGAGTGTGTTTGAAGATGAAGAGATTGTCAGGAAACTTCCTAATTGCAGCCATGCATTTCATGTGGAATGTATTGATATGTGGTTTGATTCTCATTCAACATGTCCCATTTGTCGATCATGCCCGGTACCGCCAATGGGTCAGGACGACGGCCACAAGGCTGTGGATCAAGAAATAACAGCAACAACAGAGAGGGACTTCAATGATGGGGAAGCCTTAAGAATGGAGATCATAATTGAGGTTCCAAATGCAGAGAATGAAAATGGGGGCGCAACAGATGATCAGACAGCTCCAGTGTCGTCGTCGTCGTCATTGTCGACTGTGGGTGAATCTGTAAAGAGAATGATGAGTAGGAACAGATCTGAACGTAAGGTCCATCCCTCTGAAGGTCTTGCAGAATCACACGTCTGATAAAATGTCTAGGAGAGTGATCAGGATTCTGTTCCTAATTTTGAGTCTAGCTAGTTCAATCAAAAGCCAAAAGAAACCATTGAAAGGAAGCCATATCATCAGAACCATTCATTGTATATCAATCGTATCTGATTAAAGAAAAGGTCTAGTTTGAACAACAATGCACACCAAAGTTTTTTAGCCATCCAAGTGAGGGCGCAAGGTTCGAGCCGGTAATGAGCTTTACACGCAAACTTTAGTCATTCCTGAAGGCATATAGGCATCAGATATCCCGAGATGAAAGGTTTGTTTCATCTTTCACATACAGGCAGCTCCTTCAGACCCAAAAAAAGATGAAAAATTTGCAAGCATATCCTATTACAGTGTAAAATCTATTCAGAAATTTTGAGATATTTTGTGGTCATTTAACAACTTGCATTGTTTTTTATTATTTTCCCTTGTAGAGAGTACGGCTTGGTTGGTCCCCCGCTGCCTTTTGTTATGCACAAAATGTACATCTCCCTCCATTCTAAAAACATGTCAAAATTTTAGTTTGATAGGAATAGAAGTGTAGTAAGTTCCAAAAATTCAAGCACCTCTTTCATTTTTATGGATCAAGCTCTTACTTTTGAAGTAAAATGCTTGCACCATGTAAAACCTTTTTTTTTTCCTTTTTGTTTTCTTGAAACAACTTTCAGTCAATAAGCTTCTTTTTGTAATGAAAATGGCTTCGAAGATTGTTATATTGTAGGCATGTTAGATTTTTCTGTAATAGTTGACCTCAACATATTTGTAATAACTCAAAATTTTCCATCCTGATGGTCAAAAAATAACTCATGAGCCAACAAATAAGTACGAGGTTGAAATGCCAGAAAGGGATTGGAATAGCTTCGTTGATATATCCTACATCTATACATGCCTGCTCTGAGATGCCTGAAATTGCCTTCAATACGTGTACTTTGATACAACTTTTATCTATTCATCATCATCGGAAGAACTATCTGCACCTGCCGGCAATCCAAAGTCATCCGCATCCGTTGTTGTTTCCTACAACCAAATGAAAGGTTAACACCATTTTTTTTTTAAAACATTTCTCAAAAGAGCATCAGAGAGAATGGAAATATATTGCTTCACTAGGAAACTTCTGAGCTCTTACTTGCATCTTGTCCCAGTCTTTCTTCTTCGAGTTTGCTAGCATGTAATTATCGCGCAGTGGTGCCCATGCAGGAGCATCAGCAGAACCAGTGCCAGAAGATGAATCAACCTGAATACGATACAACAAATTTGACAAATTAGCTAAGTACCACACATGGGCAGACCTCAGTTTCATCAGAAAGGAAACCAGACAGCAGAGCATGTAAATTTGATTATTAGAGGAATATAAACGAAACCGAACAAACCTTCGGCTGGGATCCAACTTGTTTGGAAGAAGACTGGCCCAATGCTGAGAAAAAGGCTTCCTTTCTACGCTTCTTTATCACTGTAAGATCAACATATGACGCCGAAATCAGATCAGATATCAAGTATATCTGCACACTTAAAAGGTTAATCTTTTATGAGTCACGAATTTTAGAAACTATTAAGTTTCTTGCTGAAAGTTAAAAAGCAGCCGACAAGACCACAAGCTCACAGAAAATTTAAAATTTCAATACTACATCCAGAAAGAGGCATGTTCCAAACCCAGAGTGAAAATAAATGATTATAATTTTAGGAACCAACCAAAGTAGAAACTAAAATTTCAAGATTCAATAAATTATTTCCAGATGTTTCCAAAACTGAGTTGCAGCCAGCACAAGACCTCTGGCTTAACATGATTGTTGTTAAGGTCCAGCTTTTCAGATGTGTCTAAACAAATTCAACAAACTACTAACCACATTTAACCATACAAAAAATGGTCTCTTGAGTTGTGACACACTTCCATTTAAATAAGTTCAGCCATCACGGCATTCCACAAAGAAGCTATCGTAAAAAGGGATTGAAAGGGCATAAAAAAAGAGAACTATTCTGGCATAGACACAGCTTCACAATAAAGCAGAGCTCCACTTTCTGAATATATTAAATAACCTTGGACTGCCTTAGTAAAGTATCTTAATAACAGCAGAAATCAATCAGAACTTGATACCATCCAGGATATTTCTGCGTCAATGTCCCAGTATCGTACACGATATTTCTTAAGCCAATAAACTTTCTATTATCAAATTTAGAGAAACATGTGAAAGGAGGCATTGTTTCCTCGCATTTACACATCAAAGCACTAAAACAGACAACAGGCAAAGTTTGCAGGCACGAAGGCCCATGATTAAATCAGATATAAGAGCACAAATTGTTTTTCATTTGCCAGTATTATCAGATTGTGAAACTTCCTCTGCATGCAAAACTCTGGATGCAAAGGAAACATATTTACTAACATCATCGAGGCATCAAGATCACGGACTCCTTTCTAAGTTGAACATAGGTAACCAAAACTTGCCCAAACAATAACTTTAAAAATCCATCAATCTGTGATCGATGTTCACAATTACCGAAATAGGATCATGCTTGATCCAAAAATCAAACTTACAAATGTACTATCTACATTAATATCCACAGGTTGAGATTCAGGAAAAGGGGTATCGTGATACATGTGCCAGTTTTATTCATGCAACTCAAGCATTTAGCATACCTTTTTCATCCTTAAATCTCCCTGGATTTAGTCCTTTCTGCGCATGTTGTGCTTTATTGACCTGCATGTCATACGAATACAAGATTCAGCAAAATGAATCTACAAGCAGTATAAACAACAAAAAAAGCATGAAAAAGCTCATTCTTCATCTTTTTACTTTTCCGCAGGGTGGTTGGGTACTTTTTTGTTTTTCCTGGTGTGAGTGCACGACGAGGGGGAGGGGGGCGGCGGGGTGGTGTGTAAGGCGGAAAAATTTTACATAGGAATATAAATAGCCACTTACAGCATTAAACAGCTTGACCACTGGTAACGACAGCCGCCAGCAATGATCATGAAAAAGGAAGATTGAAACCACATCAGATCAAAATTACAATAAGAGTTTCCTCAAATAATTAAAATTCTTCGAGCAAGAAGGGCAATCAGTACCTCCCTTTGTGGCAATTCCTATAAGAGACTTTTCATGTGAATCCAAATTAACTAGCTTTACATGCCCCTTCTCTCCTACCTATCAATTCAACAGGTAAAAAGTGTAAACAGAATTCCAATATGTGGGAAAAACCAAATAGACTACTCAACTGAAGATAGCTCAGCTTAGCTCAGCTCAGCAAAGGCATACCAAGATTTCTACACTAATATATGAAAAAAACACAAATTCAAAAGAGCTACTTCCATCGCAAGGTCAGGCAAAAACGAAGCCAATAAGTTTCATCAAACATACCAGATGCTTTTTCTTCTTTGCTACACTCTTAATCTTTTGCTCTGCATCTACTTCAGCAAGCTTTTCTGCAACTAGTTTCTTCTGGTCTTTCAATACAGGACCCTACAATTCAGATTAAAAAAAAAAACCTTTCATCAATTACGAACATAAAATATCATAAGAGCAAAAAATAATGGAGTCACTCTTTTAAAGCTAAAAAGTCACATTAAGCAAATGACACAGAGAAGCTGTCCAGCAATCTTCAAACTCGTAATTAGATAGACCGGAAACACTACGTCATTTCCAAAACATTGAACAACCATAAACCAAATGAAGCAGACTCACCAGAATGTCCTCATCAGCTGAACCAGTTTTCTTTGTGAGCTTCTTGAAAGCCAACCGAAATGCTTTACAACCTTCTGAAAATCTCAAGACCCCAGGCTGAATTTCACCATCTTCATCCTCTGACACCTCAATCTCTTCCCCACTATCTTCCTCCTTCTCATCCATCTCATCATCTGAAAAATCCATTCCCGTCCCACCTGCCTTCTCATTCTTCCGTTTTACCCTCTCATACTTCCGTACTACCGGCCCCGCTGCATCTCCATGTACCTTTTCTTGTTCCTCATGACTACCATCGTCATCATCCGAATTATAATCTCTAATCCTTTTCTGGAAAAACTTCTTCGTTTTGGGGTCCATTTTCTTAGCCCTAACATCATCTTGACCTGAACCTCCTCTTTGGAATTTCTTACCTTTTCTGGTATTTTGAAATTTAGGATTCCCATGCCCAAATTTCCTCTTCTTCACCCCCGTCTGCATATCGTGCGCCATACCTTTCAATTGAAGTTAATAACCCTAAATTTGTAGAGTTTCCTCCGCTTCGAAGAAGAGCTCAGCTTGCGAGTGAGTCAGAGAACGGAGGATTGATGTTTTCCCTTCTTTTCTGTGGGTTTAGGGCACAAACAAAAACCCCAAATCTTTAGAGACGGGTTTAAGCCTTTAATATACCGGGTCGGCTACCCATAATTGTCCACTTGCGGGTCATACTAAATTTGACCAAAACCCATACTATATTACTATGATGCGATTTGGACAAAGGATATTTATTTTCAATACTAAAATACAATAAGCAGATTAATGTATCAAACAAATCATATGTATTACCCCTCCGTCCCAAAAAAATAGTTCACATTGAGTTTTGAGTTTTATACTAATTTTAGTACAAATTTACAAACTCAATGTGGATTATTTTATGGAACCGAGGTTGTATCAATTTTAAACTTCAATCCAATATTAATAACAATAAATCTTTAGGTAGCTTTTTTTTTTTAACTTGTTGAATTCACGTAAATAGGTTTACGACCTAACATTTTATATTTTTTCTAGTTTGATAAAATAACTGAGTGATAATAACAAAATGACTCATTTGTTTGTAACTCATTCAATGGACAAGGGATTTCAAGTTTTCAATCTCAGTCTATCTCAGTCAATGATATTATTCTTTCAGAAGGAAAGAAAAGTCAAGCTTGATAAATTAAAAACTCAATAAGTCATCAATCTTATCAAAACACTACATATGAAAGTAATATTTTCCTTTCTGGTACTTCTACATTGCAATAGGGATTGGGCTCAGAACTAATAAAGCAAAATGGGGAAAATAATTACCAGTTGCCACTCTGCCTTGACCTTACATATCGGGAAAATAGTTGTCATTTCTATGCGGCAAAGGATTAAAAACGATCAAGATGAGTACCAATTACGGTATACAAAAATGGAAGTTAAGTGAATTCTAAGCCTAATTTTAGATAGTCAAATGGAGAGGTTCTTCGGCTTGCTGCTTCCAACTTTTCCCTACGAACCGCCAGCATTGCAGTTGCTGGACTCCGGACCTTGGTTAGATGATTCAGCAAGTTTCTTTGCAGATGCTTCGTCTTGCGGCTTCATAGCCGGAAACAATAGCACTTCCTGTTGTTTAAGAGATGCATGATGAAAAATAAGTTGGGTGAAGAAATGTGGAAGCGCAAGGGAGATTAATGATCCAGTAAACGGAGGGCCAAAACAAAAGCTTATAACAGTATAAATGAACAAATATGAGACCACTAAGCAGAACAAAACCAGATTGAGCACCAAAAATCACAGGTTCCATCTACATCAGTCTGCTAATCACTCTCTTCCATGCAGTGAAATCAGTCCAATTCAATTATTCAACCAAAAAGCACAGGTTGCAACCACATCGGTCTGCTATAATCACTCTCTTCCATGACTACATCAGGCTAATCACTCTCTTCCATTAAGTGAAATCAGTAGGATTTAATTATTCAACTAAAAAGCACAGGTTGCGACTACATCAGTCTGCTTATCACTCTCTTCCATGTAGTGAAATCAGTCAGATTTAATTATTCAACTCTTCAGGTTCGCAAACAAAACGGGCAGAATCATGCTTGCTGACCAACAATGCCAGGTCAGCTATTGGTTACCCGAACTGGACCTCAAAAAATAATAATTGTGGAATAACAAATAATCCCATTCATTACAGGGGCAAATGGTTTTCCTTATAGTTCCATTAAAAAATTAGATTCTCTCTTTGGGAGTTAATGAGAAAGAAAATGCAAAAAAAGCAACCAGACAACGAGAAATCCATAGAAGTTGCACAGAATAAATAAGTAGAATTAGAAGGGAATATGCCAGAAATAGACTAATCCATGACAGAAACTTGCAGCATCAAACAATTCAAGTAAACAAACCTTGATGTTCTGAGAATCGGTCAAAAGCATAGCAAACCGATCGATTCCTAGACCCCAGCCACCAGTTGGGGGTAAACCATACTCAAGGGCGGTGCAAAATGTCTCATCCAAAGCCATAGCCTCGTCATCACCAGATTGTCGATCCTGGAACATATTGGACAAATATTAGTAGCAGACACAGTACAGAAGTTTCAAATAGTTAAGAAACACCAGTTGCTCGTGATTTATTACCTTCAGTTGGTCAGCGAACCGCTGACGTTGCACAACAGGGTCATTCAATTCAGTATATGCATTACAAAGCTGTAGAATTGACAAAAATTCAATTAGTTCAAAATTTACAAGAAGACGGGGGATTACATTCACAAAACCATTTCAAAGGATATAAAAAAACTCAGAGATCAAATCTCTATCACCTACCTCATGTTTGTTGATAAATAACTCAAATCGTTCAGTAAGCCCCGGGATTGCCCTGTGCCATTTTGCCAGTGGGCTCATTATCTCTGGATGGTTGATTATGAAAGCGGGGTTCACACAGCTCTCCTCAAGAAAGTGCCCCACAAGCTGCACGAAGATATGGAGTATGGTCAGGATGGTAATGCTGGATGTGTGTTCAGGGGGACCAAGACAGAGGGGAAGATGGGGAAGAAATAATAAACACTCAGCAAACAGATAAATGAATTTTCATCAAAAAAGATGATTAATTAAACTTTCATCTTCAAAGAACAACAAACAAATCTGCGGCTTGGCTCATTGCACAAATTACATAAAAGTTGAAATATACCAGTGCATGCCAGGCACGGAATTGCGAATCTATATTCTGGATTAAGCAATAGTAAAGAGTCAAAAAAGTTTCTTATCATAAATAGTGAACTGACCTTATCCAACAATCTAGCTGTTGTTTGCGGAGGGGGGCATTTGATGCCAAACTTTGCACATGCATCTACCAGATATTTGTTAGCTTCATCACTAGAGAGATCTTTGGGTATGTTCAAATTCGCCATCTTCTCCAGCTCAGAAATCATATCAATCCTTCTGCATAACCAAACAAAGAGGGAAGGAATTAAGAAATATCAGAAAAGTAGTCTTCAGAAAAGAAATAAACAATTGAAGAGACCTGAAAGGTGGTGTAAAATCAATCTCGATCGGATCATTCCCCTGGCCATTTGCGTGATACATTACTTTATAATCACCAGTAAGCTCTTTGACCATCCCTATAGCACATTATTGTTTCAAAAGCAATTTAAATATCCACTTGGAGAAATTGTCAATAAGTTTAGGAAACTTGAAAACTAAAGATCACAAGTAGCTCACCGCTCAGCATTTTTTCCGTAAGCTCCATCAAATCATCATAATCAGCATACGCCATATAAAATTCACAAGTAGTAAACTCAGGGTTGTGAGTTAAGTCTATTCCTTCATTCCTGAACTGTTTTCCAATCTCATAAACACGATCCAGTCCACCAACAACAAGCTGCTTAAGGTAAAGTTCAGGTGCAATGCGCATATAGAGCCTCATATTCAGTTCATTATGATGTGTCACAAAAGGACGTGCTGCTGCTCCCCCAGCAATCATGTTCATCATGGGTGTTTCAACCTAGAGCAATGAATAATGCACACCAAATCATCAAATTAAAAAAAAGGGACCATGATAAAATTTCAAACAGGATGATGGGCAAGGCAGACCGCTTACCTCCAAGAAATCAAGATTATCCAAAAACCTCCGAACATATGTGATAATTTTAGATCTGGTCTTGAAGATTTCACGAACTTCTGAATTCAACATGAGATCCAAATAGCGCTGTCTATATCGAGTTTCCTGCAGTGAAAGAACAACGATGTATATTATATCATAAATTTGATCCCAAACAGGGAAAAGATCAGACATTGAAAAGATTCTAGAATATCACAAACCTGATCCTTCAAAATATATGAGTCTAGATTCCTTCCAGATCCTGGAGCCCATATTTCAGTGTTCTAGAACCAGACCAAACCAAACCAAACATTAATGAAAAAGATAACTCGTATTCGATAGCTCTAAGAATTTAAAATGCTAACCTTTGAATTGTCTGCACCTGGAGCTGCCTTTTGTCGTGGCATCATATGTAGACAGTGAGACAAAACTATGAACTGTTTCGGGAAAATACTTAGTTCTCCCCTTTTACTTTTACCTGAAAAAACCATGCGAACAGTCATAAACCCTAAGGTAAAACCATCTCATTCCTAAACTGGGATATGCTATTAGAGTTTCAAAATACCCAGAGTAACCAAAGAAGTAACCAACCTGGAAATCCAACAATACCAATAATATCTCCACGTTTAACACTAGAGTGAAAGGCGGTAAACTCTTCCAGCTCTAAATCTGATTTGCTGCATAAATGACCACATGTTAGGAACAAATATATCTTATGTAACTCAAATATCTCAAATATCATAGTCCCTTCATCTATGAAGATATGCTATCTCATGATAAATAGTCAAATTCCAACTTGAGTGTCCCCTTTTCCGTTGAATCATCATCACACGAATTTTGTACAACAGTTTTGCGTATTTCTTTTTTAAAGGAAAAACAGAAACGCCTAATTTGGCTCATCGACAACTTTTACAACTTGTACAAGCTACATATAGTTAGTAAATCATTTCAGAAAAGCTGTGATGTTCAGAGTTAGGTCTAATTTTAGTGAAAGATTTGTTTTCAAGCTGGTCCTTCAAATCTAATTCACAACTCCAAGCTAGTGATTTATAGTGGCCACTCCCAAGTTCGATATGGGTAAAGGCTGTGTTAGATTCACCCCAACATTATAAGTTTTGCCACCTTTTATGATACAGGTCATCTAAAACATGTATAACAAGAAGGTGATATGATCTGTATAGCCAAACTACACAGTAGAAAAGTGATGATTTAATGTTGCCAATGCTTACTGCTCAAACTCCTATTTCCTGTTGTTTGAGCACAGAGATCAGAGAAACAGGAATAGCAGATCAGATGCAACCCACATGGTGGACAGTTTTAACTTACAAAAATTAGTCAAAACAGATAAATTATATACTGATAGGGCAGACTAAGGATGCCAGTTCATAGGCTTTTCATATCTCTGTTTAAGCAGCAACTTATGAATTATGGGTTAAACTTCCCTAAGTTGAGACTCGTTCGAAGGAATTAATACTTATATAACATAAATGGTTGAAACTTTCTCGTTCTTGAATAGATAGTAAATTCATTTGAATACCTTGCATCAGTCATAACTTGAACTTTGGCACCACCACCATGTAGATCATAGAAGAATAACTTTTTCCCAGATGCTCGTTTGGTCATAATTCGACCTGTTCACATAAAATAATAAATTAGAAAAAGGACAACAAAGGTCGAATATATTGCTAGCATGTTAATTTACAGTCCAAGTACCAGTCAAAGACACATCAACATCTTCAAGATGTGCTCCACTTTCCAATCCCATATACTTGTTTATGTATTCAGGAATAGTCATTGAGGTTTGAAACTTGTGAGGATAAGGATTTTTGCCAGCTTCCTTTTGAGCTGCAAGTGCTTTCAGCCTATTTTCAAAGTATTGCTGCAAAGCCAGAAATTCTATCATCTTCTAATTCCAGAGCAACTCATTGTAAAGCAGAGCTTAATTGAAACATGTAAGACATAAGTACCGTGGGATCCAATTCGTCATCCTCTCCCACTTGTTGCTGCTGAGCACGTGCTCTCGTCATTGCAGGATTAGTCTTTACAGGATCCTGAAACAGCTTCAGTACATCAATTGGCATTCCAAAACACACATTGCCCAAACTTACGATACATCCATTAAATAGTTCCGTTCTTTAACTACAACTCAAAACCCAGACAAAGCATGAAAGCAATACATCCACAAGTACCGAATACTTCACCATGTACTAAAGGAATTAAAAACACCAGAAATGAATACTAATTATAAACATACTAATGTACGTACATATACATGAATATAACAATTTAAGTAAAGAAGAAAAATAAAGAGACTACCAGTGAAGCCATATACTACGATAGAGACAAATACTGAATGTTAACAATCCAAAAACTCAAAAAATGTCCAAGAGAAATGAGAACAATCCTCAAAGTTCGCACGGAAACAAAAAAAAAGGAGGCCTACGAACCTTGACAGCCTTGCCGTCCACCATTGTATGCCTAGTAGCAACCAAATTTCTGTAGAAACAAAAACCAGAAAGCAAAATGAGACAAAAAAAAATTCCTCGATTATCCACACAGGAACGTAGTTCGTCAATATCATCTGAAGCATGAACAATTTTCTTTAAATACAAAGCTCAAAAAAATCGAAATCATTCTTCCGCTTGAGGAACTTGCAAATTTAGGTTAAAATAGAAAATTCGCTAACTACACAAACCGATTAAAATGCATCGTGATGGTAAGCGGCCATTTTATAAACACAGAGTCACCAGAAATTGAAACAAGAAGTAAAAGAAAAGAAATAAGAAAAGTGTGGAACGGAGTTTCAAACTTTTTACCAGGTAGAGACTGAAGAATGGACGAAACTTGAGATTTTTAACACAGCTTTGCGATTGGTAGCTCTGATGTTTTCCCTCTTCTCAAAAGTAAGGTTTAGGAGAGAGATAGAGCTGGGGAGTTTAAACGTACATCGGGTCGGGTATACAAAATCGCGGGGCACGGGTCATACTCAACTGGCCCAGGCCCAATTCAGAGTGGGCCGCATTTTGGCGAAATTTGGCAAGTGTTATTTCTTCCGATCGTAAAAAATAAAAAATAAAATTAAGCAAAAAAAAAAAAAAGTTGTAGTAATATCTATTTACTTCATGTTACAACGGTTTGCATATGAATAATCATTGCTGGCTAAAAAAAAAATTATGCATTACGTATTTAATATAAGGCATTTTGATTTGTTCTAGGTTTCACATTTTTAATTGACAAAAAAATATTAAAAATATGTTATAACAACCTAGAGAATACAACGAATGTGAAAATATATTTTTAAGATTTTTTTATCAATTAAAAATACGTACTTAGTATAATCTTTCCTTGAGAGATAACCAAAAAAATCGAAGTCTGAGACCGTATTAGCGACCAAATTCAAGTTGAAACTTGAGGCACTTTTGTACACCAAAATTGGTACATTTTGGTTCAACCCATTACTCATGGACGATGAATAAGAAGAACACTAAGAATTAGGCCGACAAAGAATAGGTTATATGGTATCAATTGACAATTGATATTGTCCTTCCTGTATTATAATTTCGCTGATTCCGTTAAAAATTTGGTTCATCTTCTGATTAATTTTGATTGAAGGCGACAATCATGACTACTGACACTGTAGTTGATCATAATCAATTGGCCATTGTTCCGTACCGTCAATTGGCCATCGTTCCTTATCGCGGCGGTCGGAGTATCTTTTCCGTCGATGATAACCACTTTAACGATGATCTACGCGCCAAGGCAGAAGTAGGGATTGCAACTTTTGCCGCCGTGCCAAAGGCTGAAGATTCGCTCTGCTCGAATATAAAGGACAAGGTATATTTTCTCTCTGGCTGCTTTAAATTCGTTATTCAGCCACAATGAAAAGCCAAAACAATCTCTGTAAATTGATTTGGTATTTCCTCTTTTATATTGTTTGGCATGGATTGAAGATGATTGTCATCTTGTTAGTTTTCAATCGTTTGTTTTGGTTTCCATTGTTCTGTTTTCAAAAGGCAAGTTCTTTTTCGTTTGGTTAATTTGATTGGTTCATTAGTTTGCTGGAGACGAAGTTCCATACACAAGGAGACCAAAGGGTACCACAACTCTTGCTTTCATTTGCAAGGATGGTGTTATGGTAGCTATATGCTAGCAATGATGGTGGGTTCTTTTACTACTTTTGTACATCTTACTCTACATACAATACAGTATATGGAAATATTTGTGTTGTATTAAAAAAAAGAAAATTACTAACACTCTGGTTTTAAAAATCTAGCATCGGTAACATTTGTTGAGAACGTTATTGATCTCGATTCTCACGTGCTTGTCACTGTTTCTGGAGTCGGGGAGACTCGATCTTTTATCAGGAATATGAAAGATCAGGTACCCTTTTTCCTGACCCTTTTTTTGATACCATAACATGATTTCAGGAGTATGCACCATGTAAAGACTTTGTACATTGGAGTGTTAGTATTATATTGAGCTAGGGATATGGATAATAGAAATTTCCCATGTTGCACATATTTTTTCATTCTCAATTCTTAGAAGAAGAGGAGAAAAAATGATGTCATTGTTTGGTTTCTTTTATGCTTATGTGACTGTTTGATACCAGTACCAAGTCGTCATGAAGGGAACAAAATCTGTTTTAGAGGCTTCAAAATGGGTAGCTGGCCATCTGTCTTCTCATCCTGATAAGCATTTGTCAGCAAGAATACTAATTGCGGGGTGGGATGATGAAAGCAAGGTTAATCAGTAGCACCCTTCTCGTTTGTAAGTAGTTTTTAGTTGTTAATTAGGAGTTTGCTTTTGCCTTCCTTTGTACTCATGAATGTTAGTTTTTTTTTGTCTGTGTAGCGTCCTGCCTTGTATTCCGTGAATTCTGAGGGGGAAGTGTTTAAAAAACGAAGGGATGTCACTGGAGCTGGTACAGGACTTGCTTCTGATCTTTTTGGATGCAGGCAAGCTCCTTTTCCATATGATTTACCTTGTGGTTTTTGTCAATTGTAGTTGTCCTGACTGGTTGTTGGGTTTTTTGTGTATCAGTTTTGACAAGAAGTGGTATGGTTCAGCTGTGGTGCATGCTGAATGGATGGTTCGCTCTACTGCAGGCGCACTTGAACACTTCAGGAGTCTAGGTCAGGTTAATGCTGAGTATAGTGGTTACGTTAGTGGTATGTTTGTTCTTTCGGCCCTCTTTGCTTTCTTTCCCCCACCCAGATTTATCATTGTGTCATTTATAACTTCTGATGGGTGCCTCTTTCTTGTTTTTAAGGATATCAGGTCTCAGCTGCTGGGTGGAAGAGGAGCTTTTACAATTTACATGTTCCTCCTGGATTTTTCTACGAAAGCATTGGATGGCCTATCGCTTAACTTATCGCCTGCGACTATCTGAACGGATGATTTGCTCTACTGCAGCCGCACTTGCACACTTCAGGAGTCTGGGTCAGGTTAATTCTGAAAATGGTGGTTATGTAAGTGGTATGTTTATTCCGTCGACTCTCTTTGCTTTCCTTGCCCTCCCAAAATTTATCTTTTATATGATCTAAACTTTCTGATGATGAGTGCATTTTTCTTGTTCTTAAGGGTACAGGGTACTTTGCCGGAGGAAGACCTTTTACAATTTTGCTGATGCATATACTTAATTTGTTCTGAGAAATGTTTCTTTGAGACTGGTCAACATTCGCGTATGTAGTTTTTGCTGCAAATCTCTCGGTTGGTTTACTAGCTACACTTCGACATGCTTTCTGAAATCATACTCTTCCATTCTGAAGATTGATTTGTACTAAAATTGAGATCTAGCAAAGAGGCAACGACAGAATCATATTTCTTTCATTTCATACTCGATGGATTGACTGGAGTAAAATTTGTATAAACTCCAAACACGTGATAATTTGGAAAACCCCACAAAATCAAAAAGGAAATTTTGTTTACAGCCTCTAATTCAAATTTACCTTTATAAATCACACTAACTTTGGAAAAACATTTTGAAAGTCACAAAATACTACATTCCATAAGATGTGTGAATAAGCCACCATATATCCTTTTATTTCCTACAAAGAAGGAACAAAAGAAAGAAAAAACGTTTAGAGTACACTATCAAACTATTATATGAAGGGACCATGTCGTGTTATAATCACTGTTTCATGGTACGATTTAAACAGCCCCAAGTATTGTTTGTTACCCATTGTATGTATGCACATGCTAGCCAAGTTAGCCACACCAATACAATTTGAGGAAAGAAATGAAGATAACAATCCTAAAGTTTCATTTAAGCAGGCAATTGATCAGTAGGAGATGAATCGATGGTGGATCGACAAAGAGGACAATTTCCATGGCTACACAGCCATTTATCAAGGCATTCCAAATGATACACGTGCATACATTTTGGAATCACCTTTATCTTTTCATTTTCTTCAAACACTCCCAAACATATGGAACACTCACTACTTTCTTTAATAACCGCGCCGCCGCCTCCCGACTCCGGCGTGTGCACGAACGTCGGCAAGCTGTTAATGGTGGCTTCGTCGAGCCCTTTATTCCGATTCGGAACCCGGCCGGAAACGGCGATCCCTCCAACTCGCAACTCGTGGCTTCTGTGCCCGGAAGATAACTCGCGGTATTGACGGATGAAATGGAAGAACAGGAGGACGACGAGGACGACGAAGGCGAAGACGACGACGGAAACGATGGCCAAGTTGTGGTTGTGGAACTCCAAGCTAATGCTGAGGTCGGTAACATACCATTGAGACCGAGTGGATTTCAGTGCTGATTCTTCTGAAGAAGCCATTGTGAAATTAATGCAAGTTTTCTCTTAGCTTATATAGTCTACTATAAAGCTAGCTAGCTTCCTAGCTGAGGAAATGAAAGGGTTTTAATAAAGAGGTAAGTTACTATCATGTGATATAGTTGAGGATGATGTGGTGAAATATGTGTTAGTTTGAGACTTTGACAGATATGGAAAAATTAAATGATGTGCATGGAGGGAGTTCTGAAAGTGATGGCAAGTATGGGTTTTTTTTAGCAGAGTGGTGGTGGTAGATGAGGAAGGTTATCACGGGGCAAAAATTTATGCATCTTTTGATAGCAAATTGTAGAATTATTGGTACAATGTTTTGAAATTGGTTGTTGGAGCATATTACTGAGGAAGATCTGCTATCTTCAAAACCTCTCACATTAATTGTGTTTTTGTGTTCTATACGTCCCTACGACATTGATTGAGGTTTTTTTTTTTTTTTCGTTTGATTGAGTTTGCTCTTCTGATTTGATTTTAGAATTTTCATAATGATTTTCTCAGATGAAATTTTGGATTGATTATTTTGTTGAGGCACACGCTGAAAAATTATTACATATAGCAACTGTATCTTCTTTTTTAGTGCAGCAATACACCCATTATACTGGAAAATATCAATGTGTCCCCTAATTTTGTGGTAACTTTTCTGATAAAATTACTATCTTGTCTTATTCATATGTCTGGTTGCACAATTTTACGTGGTAAATTAGTTGTATGGAAGATTTTCTCTCAACTGATACGAGACCCCTAATATGGAACATTTTCTAACTACCAGCTGCTTCCATAGAGTATGTATAACAATAACAATTTTACTCAAGAAAGGTTCATTTAGTTTTTCTTTTAACACATACAGGCTTCTCATTGTTAAATTTTACCTTGGTGGGTTTTTTCTTTTTTCCCCTGAAGTAAGGGGATCTGTTGTTTTTTTTCTTACTGATTATAGCTACAATTCATGTTGTATGGAGAAACAAAAAGAAAAGGATCTTTTATGGGTATCATTTATAGCTAGCACAAACCAAGTCAACTAGTTTTTAATACAAAATTGTTAAATGCCATTTAATTTATCATTCTTCTTTAATGCATTAAACCGTGAGTAGATCAAACGGGCCCATTGGCAACTCCAAATATATCATATATGAGTATGATGCTCGTATAATTGCCAAAATTGACACAATATCAACTGAAAACTAGTCTATGCCACGAACACGAAGATATAGAAAAAATGTTACACAGGGGAGGTTTCACGTTGGAGGTTATGGTAGTTACAGTCGCACTTCCTAAATAAATTATTGAAGATCTAATTCTCACTAGTCCAATTGCTTGTGTCATATTGATTCATTAGGCAGTTGAGCAAAACAGACGGTTACTAAATTAAAGCTCCGTTCGATACTTATTAGTATAAGTTATTTTGATTTTTTCTATTTTTGATTTATTTATTTTTTTAGTTAAAAATGAAATCTTAAAAATGTTTTATAATAATTGAAAGAACATGATGGAAGTGAAAAAACATTTTTAAAAATTTATTTTCAATTCGAATAATACAATAAATAAAATTGAGAGGAAATCAAAGTATCTTGTGCTTCTTCATTTCACTTCTTATATTTATAATCTAACGTAATAGTCCATCATTATGAAATGATTCCTAAGTGTTTCATAAGGAAATAACAATATGAAAAGATTGCCACATCATGATACCATTTCCAGTATCCAGGAGGTGTGTAATAAACAACACGTAATGCAAAAAAGATAAAATATCAAAGCGAGGGTGTGGATCAGTATAGTTGTGGAGTTCTTAACTTTTGATTCTGTTTTCGGCACTTGCCCAAAAGGAGTAATAAATCTTACGCACTATGAGTTTAACGTTTTATCGATTAATAATGTGATGTAAGTTTCATGTTGTCAGTTTTCTTGCGCCCCAAAATTTTAAATGGGACTAACCCATAAAATTGGGATTGAATCTCGTAAATTCATTAGTAGCTACTAATTTTGCTGTTGATTGTTTAGTTTCATTTGGAGCATCTGATCCTATAAGGATTCTATAGGCTTGATGGTTCATCAAGTAGTTTACATTTATGACTTGAACACGATGTTATCAATGTCTCTTATTCATGTAACAATGTAAATATAATAATATACTAAGACATTTACCTCTTCTATGTAAATAATAATTTAAAAAAAAATCACTAAACTCAATATTTAAACGGGTATAACTCTTTATAATTCATTCCATTCAGATCCAATTTACTTAATTTTATTCTATTAGTGAATCAAGCACATCTCTTTTTACCTCTTGAAAGCAGCTGTCACTAAAGATATATGACAGCTACACATGCATTATTTTCCCGCCTAAAACACAAAATTACTGGTGGCTTAGTTTGTATAATTCAGGCAAAAAAAATTAAAAATAAATTTTTAGTTTTCCCTAAAATATTGACTATGATATGTTTTTATCCAAACATTTAGTACAAATTCAATGTTGCATTTACTTCAAAATTCAAATGAACTAAATCTCTCAAATTAAGGCAATAATTATACAAATTCCACACAATAATCATTTTTCTTATCAAAAAGCATGTTAATATCAGTGCTCGGGCATCCGCCCGGGCCGAGTCACTAGTCCTAAATTATCACTCTTCCCAAAATAAAAAGGCAAAAATATGAGCAAACAAATGTAAGAAAATTAAAGGCCAGCATATATAGAAATGTTGAAGACGTGCACGAATCTGTATTGATCCATTTTTTTTAAAAAAAAAAACCTCTACATATATATGAAGACTCTCATTCAATAAATGGTTTTACCCAATTATAAAACACATTCAAACGTGATAAATGACTATATGTATAACAAGAAACATGTTCTGGAACAAGTACGTATATATTCATCCAATTTTCATATAGATGATAGAGGATACATGCAATGCTTCTCAAAGAATATAAATCTATCACGACATTGCAAAAATCTTTTAAAAAACAAACATCAGCAATGTCGCATTGTCAGCTTTCTTAATGGCAAACGCGCCTCCATAACAAATACTATTCCTATAATCAATCTCAACAGAACTTATTTAAGCGATCAATATCCATAATCCACAATCAATTAGGCTCCCTGAGAGGTTACCGAAAGTTTGTAGGCTTCTTTACCTTTGCTTTATTTGCAAAGAAAAAATTGTTTTCGGTTTTGAAGCCCGAGATATATATGGCATGAATCAATATGATGAACTTTAAAATTTGAATTAAATCACATAAATCAGGGTATGGCGGCTAATCCCGTCGAGGAGGAATCAAGAGATAATCGGCAAAGGGGACAGGTCGACCGGCTGCGGAGCCATTCATCGACACAATCAGAATGGAAAGCGTGCTGACATTCCGGCATAACCTTAACCCTTTCTTCATCCTCGTACAATCCCAAACATATGGAGCATTCGCTTCCTCGAAAACTCGTCGTTTCCGGATCCTCAATATCGTCGTAATCCGAACAAACAGAGCCCGATTTCGTCTTGTGTATGAATATGGGGAGGCTGTTAATCGTGTTCGCATCCAGGCCTAACGAAGCCGATGGAACTGCAGGTATTGATATTGAATGTTGCTGCACGATCCTCACATTCCCGGACATAATTCCCGGAAAATTACGTTTGCGCAAACAAAACATACGGAAGAACAGGACACCCAGAAGAATACATATTAGAAACCCGGCTGAAATGATTGAGATGAAAAGACCGTGGCCTTTGAGATCCGCGGTGAAGTCCCAGTGATAAGGTTGAAATCTTTCCAATCCCATCACAATAAAGTAACTATTTTAACCAAATAAATACGAAAAATCCAGCAGAGAATTGAAGTGGGATTGTGAAGAAACTGATTAGTGTGGCCAGTCCTCTGTTTCTGCAACTCTGTTTTTGTAGCTCTCTTTTCTCTCCTTGTTCCAGGACCCAAAGTGTTTGGGTTATTCACGTAACATTTTCGCTACGAACGAACGTGCTTAACTTACCTGTTCTGTGATAAGACCAAACTTGCAGTGGCAACTGGGAGCTTTGTCTTGATTTGCAGCAATTTTCTATTTCTTTCGCGGATTTGATTGATTAGGCTGTTCAACTTGGGGTTGGTGGCAAACGAAAATCAGTCAGCCATGTTGTAACTAAACACGGATTAAGGTATAAAATTGTGAGTTTGGGGAGGGGTGAAGTGGAAACAGTCATTTGACACTACTACATGAACCATTATTATTGGAAATTTCCAGTCTCTCAGACTTGTCGATTTTGATGGAACTTCCCATTTTAGTGTGAATGAATGGTCATGGCCGTATAGTTTGGTAAAAAGCAACTTTCAAATTGGTAAAACACCGTGTACTATGTTTCGTTTCTTATTAGAATTGATAGAAGTAGTAATGAAATTCAAGAAGTGAATTATTGTTTATTAGTTGTAATAAAACCAAATAGACCCAGAAACAATTTAAGACTTGTGCGTTTGTTGAAGATATTGGTTCTTGAAAGGAGTCTAGTGGAGTTCACTGGAGATTAATTTAAGACTAACATACACGCCTAAGATAATTTAATGGTTTACAGTGCCAGAAAAGATTATAATCCAGAACCGATATAGAGACGTTATTCATTTTCATAGAATCATCGCCAGTCAAGGGGGAATCCAGAAAATAGTTCCTCATCCGTATCCAAAGTTTTGTTACCAAAAGCAAAATTTCACTAGTGCGCCGATACCAGTGTAGCAGTGATGTTTTTCCTTTTTAGTTGTGTAGCAAAAAAGAAATCTGAATTCTTAAAGCACTATCACGGATTGTAACATTTAGCAAAGAAAAACTAAACCCAGAGAAGGGGGAAAAAGGAAAAAAAAAGAAAAAGCTTTTAGTTGCGTGGTATACTGGTATTATCAAATTGCAAGTTTTACATTGTTTTGATGTATTTTCTGCCACTTCGGTAACAGAAAAGTATAATACTTCCCCCCCCCAAAAAAAAAAAAAAAAAGAAAAACCAAAAAACAAACTCAGGAATATGCGGAAAAGAGAGCCAAAAAGTTGGTCCCGGCGGGGCTCGAACCCGCGACCTTCGGCTCATAAGACCAACGCTCTAACCAACTGAGCTACGGGACCTCGTTGAGAGTAAGCTAACAATGAAAATTAATATACGCAAATTTTACACTGGCTGAGAATCAGTTTTAACCTCCAACACCACTAAAAACAAAGCTTTCATCATCAACACCATTATTGGTAGAACACAACCTGAATCCTTTAGTTATGAAATTGCATTTTCACTTTTTCGTAGACATCAACTAACTGCCTGCTTGCACTTTTTGGCTTCCCTAACCAAATTACATGCCTTTTGATAACCAAAAAAGTGAAGTTTTCAGCAAAAGGAAAATAGTTTCTGCGAAATTCCACTTCAAATCCCACTTTCGCATCCTGTGATGACTGATAGTCGATCACTATCCTAAAGTATCAAGACTTACTTTCTGGACTTTTCTTCCCTAATGTGACTAAGACCCGTTTCCTGGTTGCTTTCTTTTTCCTTATGTTTTCCTTGTTGGATTTGCAATAACAATTTAGAAAGGTAGCTAATGGTTTAAAACCATTTGATTCTCATTAAAAGATATGATATACATTTTACATGTCACAATGCTTAAGTATTTTTTCGCTCTAGGTTTTTTAAGCCCAGATGGCTAAGATAGACATCGAGGTAGAGCCAAGAACAAGGGCAATAAAAGATGCCTTTTTTAAGAATTGTTCAGAATTCATCAATTTGTTGTGGAAGAAATCCAGAGCAATAAGATCAACCAGAGCCATGTAAATCAGAATCCCAGAAGACAGCGACCCCAACAGCCCTTCCATAATCAATGCGTTTGGACTACTATCGTCGTATCCTGTTATCCCAAACATAATCATTCCTAGAACTATTCCCAGCGGCGTTGTCACTGAAAACATGAAGCACATGTAGGCCGTCGTTCCAATGCTAAATCCTGCCTGCATGACAACAATTAGACTTGTTCACTTATTTTGTCCAGATCAAACAGGCTCAAATACCAGGGAAAAATACCTCACAGAAAGGAAACAATCTACACTGGTGAAGCACTAGATGTAGTCATCTTATTTGGAAGTATGAATATCTTATTCTAACAACATGATCAATGAAATCATCTTGGAATTTTGAGAGCTATGAGAAATTTGATGATTATAAGGAATCTAGAGGTATATATAGCAGTAATGTCAGGAAAACGACGTAAAGAGTTAGCCTTAATTTAGTATCAGAAAAGGCACACAAAAGTTGGCACCTTGCAAATGCTCCAATAACTTTATTACGATATATCTGAGTAATGGAAATAAACTTCCCCTTGAAGAAAAGCTGTCTACTATTGATGAAAAGAAAAAAGAAGCAGTGAGTGATGTCATAAACATTACACGAAGGAACTTTTCAAATGATCCAGCAGAAATACTTGAATGATCTGGTCATAGATTGAATTTACAATTGGAAACTACAACCTTTAGGTGGCACTCAGAGATAGTTTTTAGAATGAACAAAAGAAGTGTGTGAGGATCCCCTACAAATTCATTAGCTTTGACTATGAAAGACATATTCCATTCAGTAGACACAAGATTCTGCCAAATATTAGATTCTTGACAAGAGCAAGGAATGAGCAAAGTCGGACGCAGGGGAAGGAAACGGCAGTTAAATAATCAATGGCAATTCCAGCCATTTGCATTGACATTAAAACTGAAACGCCGAAGGTTTGTCCTACAAGCTACTCTAGAGTGGAACTCCTTCCTAGTTCCTTCCAAAGATAAATCCATAGATTTGTTATGTTTGGCATAATTTCTACAAGATGCCCTCGCAGGAACCAGATGTTCTGTAACTTTCCATTTGCATATTCATTCCATTTCGGCATAATGCCTAGCTTGGCTCAAGGAATTCCGCAGAAATCTGAAGATAATACTACCATATGGTCATTTAATCTACACCACTAGTAACCTAAGCTGACACGCAAGGGTACAAGTTATCAACCACGACCCTTAATAATCTCAAACCGTTTTGCAGCATAGCACAAGATACGTATGCTGCCCCTACTACGCTGTAAATGATAGTATTACATTCTCTCTTCTAAACAAAAATAGAATCCTACTTTTTTCACATGTATAAGTTTACTCCAAAATAATCCAAAATTCAAACAACTATCATTCATAAAAAAAATTTAAAAAAAATTAATTAAAAAAAATAGCAGGGATTTGAAAAAAAAATACCTGAGCAATACAACCTCCAAGTCCCATTCCTTCAAAAATCTGATGAAACGACAAGGCGGCAACCAGCGGTTTAATAGTGCATTTGTTCTGAGACATCCCCATTGTTACCCCAATGATCACCGAATGAAAAATTATCCCAATTTCCAACACTTGTGACACCAATTTCTGTTTCAATTTCACCATTTCTTCCGTCTGTGCCGCCTCAATATCCGCCCCCACAAGCCCCACCTCCACCGCCGCCGGCTCCACCGATTTCTTCTCCACCGCTTCCTCCCCGCTCCCAATCGGCGTCAATCGCGTGTACCCCGAACTCTTCAGCTTCTTCTGCGCATTACCGTGTCCATGTCCGTGGCCATGCCCGTGCCCCTCCACATGCGAACTCGCCGTCAAGTCAACGAACAACGCCGTCAAGACACCGATTAACGTAATCAGACCGGAAAAGGGGAAATCCTTCCAGGGATGATGTGAGGCCACCTGGCAATCGGCAAGGGCATCGAATGCATCGGGCAACACGTGCACCAGCGAAGTAGACAAGATTACACCGGCGGCGAAACACTTGATTAGCAGCACCGCCTTGTCGTATACGGGCTTCCCTTGGAACAATCGAGCCAGGAAGACCGGCAAGGTTATGCCGACGACGCTGGTGATGAAAATCGCGAAAATCGAGATGACTTTGAGGTGGGCCGCCGCTTTGCCATCCCTGCAGGAAGTAGCTCTGAGTGTGTCGGTGGAACACAGAGCCATAAAGGTGGTGGTAATTAATACAAGAAGAAGAAGAAGTTTTGCGGTCAATTAATGGAGCTGGAGAAATTTCGGTGGAGCTTAGAGGAAGAAGAAGCGACTTGGAGTAATAATGGTAGAAGTCTTACCACCAGAAGGACTCTTCTGATGACTGGTGTGTGACTATGTGTGTTGTTGGAAGTTTTGACAATTTCCGCTGATTTTTACGCGCGGCACGGGTGAGCTATCAGCTCACAATAGGGAGAGGATGACGTGCACAGAAGAGTCATGTTTCGATTTTGCCAAGAGGATTATGACGTGGAAAATTCTACTTTATATCTATATTTTTAAAATAAAATTTTTAATTTAGCTTGGGCTTTGAATGGGTCTAGAGTCAAGACCCAAACGAAATAAGTCCACGGTTGAGTCAGTTGTGATAATAATAAATAGAAAACCTACTAACTTAAAATCTTCTTAGGCTATTACATTTCATAAGATCATATGTTATACTCCCTCCGGTCCTTGTAATAAGGCATTTTGATTTGTCTTAAATTTTATCTAAGATGTCTTTTTAATTGGAAAAAAAAATTTAAAAATATTTTTTCACATTCGTTGTGTCCTCTTAATTATTATGAAATATTTTTAAGGTTTTTATTTCAATTAAAAAGACATCCTAGGTGAAACTTATGATAAAATCAAAATGTCTTATACTAAAGACCGGAGGGAGTACTATTATGCATTTTAGATACTTGGTCGTGGACTATAGTTCTAACTTCTAGGGGGTTTATAATTTGCTGTTTTGTATGTATGTTTTTAGTGAACTAATGGTACACGATCATGATACGATTAGTTAGGGTTGATTAATAGGATTTCATTGGTTCGCCTCATTGTGTCTTAGTTTTATATGGCTTCCAAGCTATTTCAAGGAGTACTAATAACTTAATCACGCTTGTCAGCTAATTAAAGTTAGTAAATTATAGGTTAATGAGATGCATAATATGGCATATAATGCAATGCAATGTTATAATATAGGGTCTTTTCTCAAATACATGTACCTTCTTTCAAAAAAAAATAAAAATCACGCTTTCATTCGTGAAAGAATAGATTTTGTAACAAAATTCATTGTAGAAAGTGATGGTTTTGGAGAGGAAACGTTTTTAGATAATGAAGCATAATTTTTTTTCTCCAAAAAAGAAAAAGAATTAGTGGTTTTTGTTAGATTTGTTATTTTTTATCCTTTTTTTGGAGGGGGGTGTATTTCACATAATTTTGTTATGATTTTCGCTCTTTTTTTAGTGTGTGTCATTCAAAAAATCAAATCAAAATTGAAACAACAGCACTCCATATAAACCCACTAGAATTGGGCCTTTTGAGCAGATTTAGCTCTTCAAAGATTCACTAGCGTATGCTTGAAATGAAACGGACCATCCATCGTGGAAGGCGTTTCGATATCGTTTTGGTCATGGGTCAGATTCAGCACTCAGAAAGTTGGGTTTGAAAGAATGAGGTTGGTAATGAGACAGCCCAACTCAGAAAGTTGGAAATGAGACAGCTTAAAATTGTAATAATTGTTATAATAAGAACTTTTAAAACAAATCATGAATTAATAAATTAATTCCACATCAAACAATCTAACCACGTTGTTTACGTTTAATTCAGGACTGGTTTGAATCCTTCTTTGTAGTATGTCATCACTTCTGACTGAGACAAGATTGGTTTGTTCACATCTTATTTCGTCCCGAATTTAAGTCACGCACCAAAAAAAAAAAAAAAAAAAAAAAAGGTTCTGATTACAGCTTCCTGGGGTTCTTTTAGAAGAAAAAAGTCAATATATTAATTGATTAATAATTAATTAACGTGAAACTCGCCATCTAACTTGCATGTCCATTGAGGAAGTTCTCCATATTCCACAAAATTATTTGAGTTGAAATATACAAATTATCGGTTATGTAATCAAGCATGTGGGATGGTGACCTCCTCTGAACGAAATTTCATCCCACTTCCCATTGTAAGATTAATATACTACATCTGTTCCATAATTATTGTCCATTTTGTCCAAAAAATTTTGTCCCAAAATTATTGTCCAATTTGACTTTTTATGGATCAAGTTACACATTTGTCCTTAGTAAAAAACATTATCCATAAAATCTTAGTGGTTAAACAATTACTTATATGTAGGGGTATATCCGGTTGTTTAAGGTAAAATATAGTTAAGTTTGATCAAAAATAAAATATTTCATTTTAGTAAAATTGGACAATAATTATGGGACGGAGGGAGTATATGGTAGACACTTGCTCATTTTTGTGACTTGAACCGCGAAAATTCATAGGCAATAAAATTTTATCTTTATGCTGCATTTTATCTGCTATACATTTTTAAAAATATTAATGTTCATCGGATTGTTTATATGGAACAAATTGCACTTTTGATTTTACTGGTGTGGCTGAAAACACAATTTGGTCTAAATTTTTCACCCACATGTAATAGTTTATAATTTTAGACATTTGTCTTCTTCATTTATTGTACCCAAAAAAATATTCATATTAACTTAGAATTAAAACTAGTTAAAAAAAAATCACTGATCACATAAATCTACCCAATGGTTACTTCTTAGTATTTATAATAAATCTCTTTCTCAAAAATATAATTCACATTGCATTTAAAAAATTTGTATTATTTTCAGTACTAATATAAAAACTCATTTTTTTTTCTGAAACGGAAGGGAACTTTGTTGCCGCATGGATTCTAAATTTAACTCACTTATCAGTTATCACACACGTATTCACATGTGATGTACGCAAAACTTATACTTATGCAATAACATTAAATAATAAACAAGTATTTATAGCCCCGCCCCTAATCATATGATGAATATCAACCGTTGCTTTTAAACAAATAATCAATATAAGCCCCACTCAGCATATAAACGACCAAACCCTATTGTTTATTGGATAACCAGAGTCGGTCCACTATGAAATGATGTCCAGGAGGAGGTGATCAGTACAGCAATGTTTTTATTCATCACATATCCAGCCAATTATAAGGATAATGGGAGGATTAATATCCAATAATCAGTGTTTTATATGTCACTGTCATCACTCATTTTTACTACATTTCATACTAATCATCATTAGCAACTTGTTAGCAACTTCACATCAAATTAAATGGCCACTTCAAATTTCACAGCGAAAGGTGCCAAGCTATAGTAGCGATAAACAATGATTAATTATACTTCTGTGTTGTAGAGCTCTTACTATACTTTTTTATACTGTTAAAGAACTGAGAGAAATGATTAATCACTTTCTGTTCCGAATTATTGTCCAGTTTGAATTTTTATTTTTGGTTCAATTTTCACTAAAAATGAGAATGTAAACTGAACAATAATTTTAAGAGGGAAGGAGTATTAATGATTTCTTTTGTGATATATTTGAGAGTAGTTAATTATTACGTAATTTTCCGATGATACTACTTCTAACATACATTCCGTCACATTTAATGTCCCGCAACAATTGAACCAAACAGTTTCGACTCGATCTGTTTGTACATTTGGGTCGTAGCATTAATCAAACTCCAACTTCTACAAATTTTCGAGGCGACCTTATGGATTGGTTGCTATATTTAGCCCTTAAATTAAACTGCAACGAAATTATGCCAACTTCTAATCCATGATCTAGGATCTCCTGGTCCATTTCCAGTTTGTAGCCACCTCGATTACTTCTTTGATAGGTAATGGAAAATCCGTATTTAATTTATCCTTTCTAGATTGACCTCCTTCTAAACCCAACAAAAGTTGACCGGAGTAGACCCAGTCCTTTGTACTTCCGAAATTTGAAATGGTTGAGAAATGATCAATATGTATATGGATTAGAACTATATTCTTTCTACCTTAATATAATACTTCATCGTACCCACTAAAATAGTCCACATTGAGTTTGAGTTTTGTATTATTTTTAATACAAATTTAAAAACTTAATGTGTACTATTTTTTTTTTGGACGGAGGTAATAGTTCGCTTTATTGAATTATCAAAATGATATAGGTTCTCTTTTTATTATGATGATGGAGGTTGAGACAAAATTAGGACCATAAACGCACTTAAATTTGGAACTGTGAATTTACCCTGATAGATGGAAAAATTAGCGAAAGAAGACGAAAGAATGGATAGTGACAACTCGAACTAGTGACTACATGATTAGTCCCCCAACTACACGAGGGCTAGCAATAGCTGCACCAGAAAACCCCAGTAAAAAGGAACCCATTTATGGAAAAATCCCAAAAGCTACATTTCATCATCAATTTGATAGTTACAACAGAAAAACGAATTGCGCTAGTCTTTCTTTTTTTGCCTTCTTTTCTTCTTTCGTTTAGGTTCATAAAAGTTTCATTTACATCAAACCTCTCTTGGGTCTACAAAAATGGCATCTGCCGTTTCTGGTGGGGCTTTCTTCATCAACCGATCAGTATCCAGGTGTTGATGTTGTTGTAGTGATTTTTCTTCGTATTTTAAGGCTTTTATGCACCACAAATCCTCAGGGCTGGAAAGTAATTTCCAATGCGGGATGTGATTTCTCAGCATTATCTTATCCCGACCTCCAACTTCCGTGACAACAGCCTTAATACAATCATCCGTTTCCTTTGCCAAATTGTGTACCATTTTGCATAGTGCCCGAATCAGCTTCCCTGATTTTGGACCTTCGTTGTATATCCCATACATGAAAAGAAACCCGAAAGGGTTCTCAAGATCAGGCACAATGGATGAACTAAAACACGGGAATATTAATGATGAGATCTTGGAATACAACATGCAAGTTAAGGTTGGGTTACCAACTCTCAATTTGAAAACCTCCGAACTTTTCCATACACTAAGCATTGCCCAATTACTCTTGGGCACTTCTTTGACTACATCTTTTTCCAGAACTAGTTGATCTCGATCCGCTCGAAAATAAGCCAACCAAGTGCCTAAACTCAACTTGTTACTCAAGATTCGGTTTATATCATGTGGGAAAAACTCGGTGGAGCTCACGAACTTCCTGTACAGAAACTCGGCTTGCTGAATGTTTAACTTGAGTATTCCAACCTTGGAGGATAATCTAAGCCGGGAGAGATTTTTGTTGTTGTTTACGGGGTTTACGAGGATTGAAGGTGTTCTGAATTTGGTGTAACCTAACTTGTTAATGAAGAGATTGGTGCAGGCTTCATTGTCTTTCTCTGTGGCCATGTAAGAGTAATCAACCTGGTGAGTTTTGAACCATTTCTCCATTTGGTTTACTAAACTTAAAGCTATCCCTTTTCTTCTGTGAAGTGGAGAAACCCTGAGCCCCAAGATATATCCCACTTTGGCCAAATGTTCCTTTGGAGATTTGTGAATTGTCACCAGTTTTATGGTGCCTTGAATCACCCCAACTATCTCATCATTTAACTCAGCCAACTGCGAAGCCGGGAAAAAAAATAAGAGAGAGTTTTTATCATTAGAAGAATACGAAAAATTTTTCCGTCCTAAAAAAAAATAGTCATGAGAGAATTTGCGGGGTACCAGCATGTCGTAGACGGGACTATTGCGGATTCTGGAGATGGGGTCGCCAAGATTATCTGTGAAGAGGAAAAACTTCTCCATTGGGCCTACCTCACATCTTGTTAAAAGATCGTCTACCCCATCTTTGTCCATCTTCCCGTCGTAGCTCCTGATCCTAATCTTCTGAAATGCTGCCATTTTGAGTAGTAATTTTTTTTTTTAAATTTTCGGGGCCTGAAGAATTAGTTCAAGTTTCTAGAGTAAATAGTAGGTTTTGTATGAAGATTGAAACAGGAATTAGATGCGTTCCTGAAAGAAAAATCATATTCATGCTGACAACAGAAGCAGCTAGCTAGCTAGGGGCCTAGGAGTTAATTAAGACTGTGAGGCATCACATACACACATATTTATACTCCTTTATATCAAAGTTATATGTAATTATCGATCACTATATAAAGTCATAAACTTTGCTGCCACCCAATTGCCTCCCTCCCCTTTTCGTTTCCTTTTTTGCTTGTGCCAAAAGTAAAATAAGTGAATGGCTTTTTATAAGGGAGATAAATCAATTAGATTCTTAGAGAAATTAATAATCATGCATGCACTAATCAATTAATTAATACAACACTTAGTATTTTTAGTTTTTTTTTCTGTGTTTTTAGTATTTCATTTTTTTAAAAAAGATAATAATTTTGGGGGATAAAGAGGAAGATGAAGAAATTCAGAAAATCTCTAATATTGTTACTAATTATATATTCCATTCGTGCCAAAATTGTTGTTCAATTTTGAATTTCTAGTCCACGTTTCAAAAATAAAATTTTAAAAAATGGACATTTTTCTTGAGACAAAGGGAGTAAAATTGTAAGTAGTTGAAGGTAGTAGCTAGTTCGCTAGCAAGTCCAAAAATCCAAATGGACGAAAGCACTACCTAAATTCTCCTGCTGCCGACATGGTTTACTCTTTAATTTCTTTTAGCAATGTATAAGTGAGTTGAGTGCAGACAACAACGATTAAATAGAAAAAAAAAGATGTAAATTGTTCGACGCAACTACTTTACACACTAAATGCGTAATATATTATATTTCTTATGTCAAAAAAAAAAACTCAATGTTACATTTTAAAATTTGCATTATTTATTATATAATTAAATTTAAAAACTCAAAAAACCTATTCGTTTGGAGAAATTATTCAGTACAACTGCTGTACCACGTAGGATTGTGCAGCCAGATACAATAATATGGATAAAGTAGTAATTTTGAGGTGAGATATATAATTTTTACGAGAGTTATATCACCAAAATAGAAGAGTGTTAGTACTTGCTGCACTAAAAACCAAGATACAATAGCTGTATCTAATAATTTTTCATTCGTTTGAGACATATAAATAGAGTATATAGAAAGAGACACAAAAGATGAGATTTGATCGTAGGAAGGATGGTTGATATGATCCATATATAGACATGCATGCAGTAACCTCCGACGTAGGCCTACGGCAAGCGATAGTTACCGTACACGAGTTCTGACCGATGTCCAAGCGTCGCCGTCAATGAGCTCTGAATCAATAATCACTTTAAATTCTCTCTGCCGCCAGAAATTTAATCTTGGTCTACTAATAATATTGTAAGGTTTGGTATCTAGTCGTAATTAAATACTCTAATTTCTCTCTTACAAATTAACAAAATGATGCCTTTAAATTCTTTATCAGATAATTTTTTTTCCCCGAAATGGCACCGATGAAAATTTACTAATACTTCTATCCTCGGAAACTATCCATATATTTACAAAGCTCACGATGTATCAGACAGGATACAGAGCCTAGTTACATAAGCTCGGGTGGATTCATGGCTGAATAAATTTTCACCATTTTTTTTTTTTTTAAATCTCAGAGAAGGAGTTCTGAGTAGAGGACACCTTTCGGGAGAATAACTTTTACGCAGATTTGATTGTCAAATCGACTCTAGGTTTTACTGTTACTAGAAGATGCGAGAGGAATCTTTGCTGTAAATTAGACTCTTTCGGTTTATCTCTATTTAACCAAAAAAAAAAAAAAACTTTTCTTCACTATGTTGAAGCAATTACCAAAATCTATTACTCGTTCTTTCCATAATAATATTAGCAAATAATAAAAAAAGAAAAAAATATTAGCACAGAAAAGGAAAGTTAGTAAAAAATGAGCTTGAGAATTGTCTCTTTATCACAATTGCAAAAACAATCGTTAATTTCCATGTTTTTGTCTCAGCACATAAGCATCACAGTTTCATGTATAAATCATAAATATATTACTCTTAGGGATCTTTTGTGACAATTTTATGTAACTTTATAAGTTATAACATTGTTATTACTATATGGTTTTTTTTTTTTTGTTTCAAACGTTTTATTATTATCATTTCTAACTTTGGCTATTAAGGTCTCACGTCCACGTTGAAGATAACCTCAGCCTCACGACATGATGCACGCCTTAGCAAATGTACTATGTTGGCCGACCACGATTTAGTACTACTAATAAAAAAAAAAAAGAGAGCAGGATGACAGCACTATTTATAATATGATTTTGAATAATTAATTAGGTGGTCACCATATTTATTAAGATATCATACATATCTCTTGCTAAGCTAATACTATATTTGTGTTAATATACTATGTAATTAATTTCTTGTTTAATAATTAGGTCTCCCTCTAGACTCTAGAGAGCGTGTTTAACAATTAATAATAGTTTGCAATTATATAATCGTACTTTACCAAACTCTTAGGCCGTACCACAGCTAGGTTGACATGCACAAGTCGGAAGGAACTTATAAAATGCTAGAATGTCATCATAGTTTGATGCGATGCAGCGTTAGTATAATTCTATCACAAAAAGATTTATTTTATTTTATTTTTTTGATAATACGTATAATAATAAGAGTAAAGTTTGATGCTACGTGTATGGCTAGCTTCAAGCCCTCCATCCAAGGGTCCGAGTTGCTTTTCAAAATTTAATCTTAACTGATTAATTATAAGAGTGTATATTCGGGATTTGGTATAGTTTCACGGAAACAAGAAACTATATGTAATGGTTAAAGAATTTAATAGATTTCAAATGAAAAATGAAAATCCGGGTTTCCTGAGGAATTGAGTTTCTCTTTACTTGAAATTAAGTTAATAATGCAGAAATATAGAATTTAAACTTTGTAGCTGTTTATCTACCTCAAATAAGAACCGCGCTAAATAGATAAAACCACACAGAAAGAGCTTTTCGGATCAATAAAATGGTGAATTTGGGTCCATATTAAGCGTTTAAGGTCTAAAATGCCAATAAGGGCGGTCACTTTCAGCACATAGCACTAATTACTTTATAAAAAAACTTAGTGTATCTAGTACAAGTAATAATTTATGATGTTGGGGCGATCGATTGTCTTTAAGATCGGTCCCCTACCTCAATAAACACTAAATTCCAAACTAATGGAACCCAACTAGCTTGTTACCATCACCACACTTTAAACTAATATACAATCAGAAAGAATCAGCATTTTACATATTAAATATAAAATAATTAAAAAGAATCCAAGCATTCATTCATGCATATGGCAAGTACTGGCTATAGAGAGTGTTGATAATTATTATTCGAGCCTAAAAGTATTCATACTCGAGTTATCAGAGCAGGACAATAGAGACAAGTACTATTTATAATGAAATAAAATAGTGATGGCCATGAACAATGGTAGAAACATGCAAGTAACTATTTTTAATGAAATAAAATAGTACTCCCTCGGTCCCATAATTATTGTTCAATTTTATTAAAATAAAAGATTTTATTTTTGGTCAAACTTAACTATATTTTACCTTAAATAACCGGATATACCCCTACATAAGTAATTGTTTAACCACTAAGATCTTATGGATAATATTTTTTACCAAGGACAAATGTGTAACTTGATCCATAAAAAGTCAAATTGGACAATAATTTTGGGACAAAATTTTTTGGGCAAAATGGACAATAATTATGGGACGGAGGGAGTAATTCGTAAGAAAATAAAAACATCACATTACTCTTTTAATGACTACCCAATTTATTGTTATAATTGTTGCATCAGTCATTATTTATAGATCATTTTCCGATGGGTGTTTTGGGGTTGGGGTAGTACCCAAGGCATGAAATTATTTGGTTCGAACCCTTTAACCTCCTCTTTGTATCAAACAAAAGTAAAAAAAAAAAAAAACAAAAAAAAACCTTGAAATTAGTTCGTATTGAAATAATAGAAAAATCTAGGAACTGCGTACAATTTTACTATTTTTAATCTCAGTGGGGGAATAATGAAGCACGACAATTAATATTGATGAAAAGGTCGAGTGAAATAAAGAGTGGGAGATTGTTCCCTATGGTAAAACCAATTCGTGCCGTTGATCGTTCTGAATTCACACTTTTTATAAATTGGCAATGTAACATGTATAAATTATTAATCTCTACCATTTATATAGTTTTACAAAAGAAGGACGTGTTTCAGTATTTTGGAGCTAATTAAACTGTGGCCTAACAATGATCCTGATGTATTTGAGATCAATCAATAGAAAAAGTGTTAATTACTAATATATTGTTTATTTTCTTAATCTCTTTTCATTGGCTTTGAGATCAGTATCTCCTTAACCTACACTCAAAAATTATAAGTATATTTTGGATTTGTATAAACCGAATGATAAATTCTATAACGTAATTTAATTAGTGTAGAATCAAAGAGATAAAAATCAAGGTCATTTCGTGGGATGGAATAATTTTCAGATGACTAAGAAGTAAGAAGCAAAATATTGGAAGTTAGTAGTGACAATCATCACTCACCACATTATATTTATTGAGCTTTCTGCCAATTGAACAAAAAGCTTAATGCCAAAATTTGATTATAAATTCATAGTAAGTTGCATACAGCCATTTAAAGAGCACCCGACATGAATTGCAAATCGCACCATTAGCACTAATCATATTAATCTCTCGCTATATCAGGCAGACAAATGGCTCACGAAACCCTAACTGTCTCCATCTCGCCTTTTCCTCCCCTTTTGCATAAACCTCAACAGGAATCATGAATTTGTGGACACATATCATATTCAATTTAATTTTATTATCCTCAAACTGCAAGTACTAATATCACTAAGTTATACACTCTTATCACGGCCCAAATTTCAAATTAAAAAATATTAATACAAAATTTAAAATTAAATATAAATTAATTTTTTAAGACAGAAATAGTACTCCATATCCATGATAGATAAACACCTTTGCAATATGATGACTCCTAATCTGATTATCTTTCACGAATCAAAGCAGAAAACAAAAGCCATCATCCATGGCCGCCAATAACTACTGTATGAAAGCAGGACACGTGCGTTTTGCGGGTCGGTCCTAAGAAACTGGACCCCCTCCCACGCGTC